CGCTGGCCAATTACGCAAAAAATTAGCAGGATCACGAAAAGGCAGAAAAGAGATCTCGTTAAAAAAACATGCTAGGTATAAATTTGCGTTTCTTTTAGTGACCCATGGACACAATAACTCAACCCTTTGAAAGGCTATGAATTTCATGGTATAGAAAGGCACAAACCACAGCATGGACTTAAAAAAGGTTAATCATCATAAGGAATTATGGCTACTTTAGTTTCTGATTAAACAAAATTTTGCAGGCCTTAATGCAAATAATAAGTTGGTCCTTATCCTGGACCACTTCATTCTCCTACTGGCGGGATAAAAGGAGTCGAGGGGGTGGATGACGGGTCGCTTAGAGTTAGAGTAAGCAAAAAGTAGTAGCTTTGGCCCTATCAACCACAGAATGTGACTTGCAGCTCACTAGAAGCCCGACAGCCAAACACATTTGGTCGAGTTTATATTCCACCAACCTGCTTAAAGCAATTACAAAGGGAATCGCACCCATTTAAGCGATTCAAAGGTTTTGACGGTGCATCAAAATATCATCATCGATGGCTTTTTAGTCTTAACTGAGGGGATCTTACTTTGAACTTCTTAAGTGGAAGTAGCAACCGTCGCTAAATTGAATGACAGTCGGTTAATTTGTGACATGTGAGACAGCGACTCGCATCTAGCTACTCACTAAGGCACATTTTGAGTCTTTCCTTTCTGTAAATAGCATTAATTTTATTTTTAAAAACTTTTTCGAGCTTGGCAAACTTTTCCAACTGCCAGCACGCTTGAACTGCATCGCCAATGTCTCCCCTTAAAACGATTTTAAGCGAGTTGATTTAAACAGTTTCGCTATTTCCTGTTGCAAAACGCCAAGGGCGGTCAGCGCATTTTTGAGGGCCATAAAATTGCCACCCTGTCTGATTTATAGACGTTAGCAGTGGTGGCGCATGCTCCATAAAGCCCATAAGACAGAGGATGGGGTTGGCTTCACCCCATCTTACCAATCGGTGCCACCAAGCTGATCCTCGAAAATGCAATAATGCCAATGTCCCACTCGACATAAATAATGTTAATATGCTATGCAAAGTATAGTTCAACCTTTAAAACGAAGTAATCAACTGCAGCATTATGAGACAATGCAAACATTTGATACATATTTATGGAGTTATAAAGCTACCCGTAGCTCAATATTTTTAACATTAAACAAAGGCGGTGGATGAGTGATTGCTTAATGTTGTATCTAAGCAATAATTAAATTAAAAATAATTCCCTTTTTTTCTCGCCAAACAATGCCCTTTTTCATAAAGGCTTCTAAAAGTTGCTATCGCATGGAATTTGTTTTTCTTTTCTTACTTCAGAATAACGCACTTTGATTCTAAGCACTAATTTTTCTTGGGCGCTTTGCAATGTTTTATTGGGAAATAAAATGTGCCAGTCTGGACATTTTATGGATTGTTTGCATAACATGTCCTACTTCGGCAGTCGTTTTGACAAGTCTGTCACACACCTGGAGAGCAGCGGTCTACCAATCAAAATCACTGGCTTGGTGGGACTAGGCAACCCTCGTCTCGCTGATAAGTTCTTGTAAAATAGGATGGCGTGTAAACAAAACTTTTTCAGCACCCTATCTAAAGTGTTTACTATAAGCTAAAAATGCTGAAGAAGCAAAATGAGCCTTCGGTAGTTTTGAATATGTTCGATGGTAGTACTTGATTTGCTTTTTTATGGTCGAGAGTGTATAGAGGGCTTGCGGCACTTTGAGTATGTTTTGATACTTTACAATAGTGATAATGGGTACTAACGGATGCTCTATGGTTAGTGTAGCTCCATAAACTCACTTGCTCATTCAACCGAAGGATAATATGAACACTTTCTCTTTGTACTGTAGAACTCCAGGGCCTCAAAAGACATAGTAATTTGAGTAATTAATTAGTAGAGTGCGCAATGGCAAGAAGACCATAAGTACGAGCTGAAAGTCACAAGCACCAACTGGGCACTTAAAAACTTATTACTTTTGTTCATTTTATAAAAGATTTGTCCACCAGCTTTTTTATTCCATAATAGGCCAGCAAAACCTTTGTTCTTTAACCGCGAGTGGCTACATCCTGGTTCTCAATCATTTTTAAGTAAAACTGGCAAGATTTTGATGTATATTGATGGACAGAAGAACTCCTTTAATTATCGCCTCAGCGATTAGGTTTTCGTGATTTATGCCACCGAAAAGTACAGCTCTTAGACGTAAATGGTACTTCTTTTTAAATCTTTGAGTGGTGCACTGGCAAACCCTCTGGAACCTATCAAGTTCCATTTTGTTCAAATCGCCGCATCTTATGTCCCTACAACTACTGATAATTACGATTTGATTTAGTTAAAGTTGATGCACGGGCTATAAAAAGGCTGCAAAAGTGTATATATCCATAAGTATCGTAATTAAACGTCCTAATTTTACTTCATTCATTAGCTTGATTTAGGATGAGTTCCATTTGAGCTATCCTAAAGTATCTTGATATGTGAAAGCCTTTTTGCAGAAACTCTCAATTTTTAGTTTTTTAGTCTTTTAAGTGAACTTTTGAATTGCCGTTCCCTTCGATATGGATGCAAATGCGTTCGTTGTTTGTTAATCAAAGAAATTTTACTAAGGAAGCGATTGAATCAGCTGTATGGTCCCACCCAACTAGCATTTCGGAGACCAATGACAATATGTGTGTAGTCATTCCGCGTGAATCTTCCCGACACGATTGTTCCTCTACCTTTTTCTCATCCTCATTTTTTGTCCTCTTGTGCTGACTGAATTCGCTATTTTCGTGGCCATAGCGACGCGGCCATAGTGGCATTTTGTCGACAACAGAAGCAGCAGCAATAAAGCGACCCAATTCGCACTGCTTCCTGTTGCGTGCTGAGTCATTGTCAAGGCTACGCCCAGGTCTGAGTTCGGTAGCACCCAGAAAAGTTCCACCGAAAAGTTTTTACTAACGTATGATGCTAAAGATCGATTACTGTAAGGATTCCACCCCATGAGTTTACTCAAAACCAATTCAGTAGCGAATGGCCACCAAGTTCTCAGGCTGATGGTGCATAAAACTTTGCTTTGTCAAAATTTAAGTATTGCATAGAGCTAAATTCATAGCAGCTACGCCCTTCTTAGAAGATTTTTCGCATCTCAGTTCTACTTATTTCCCTGGTAAAACTAAAACGTACCGACTAAATTATTTAAGTCAAATCTCTGCCATTCACATAAGATGTTCTGCAGAATTCTGTCAACAAGACGGATTCTGACAATGATTTCAGAAAGCAGATATGGTAGCATGACCTTCGCCCGAGAAGAGCAAGTGTTACTTCATTCAAGCATGTTTTAAACCAAAAGGAGCTCTACATCACAGGCATAGCAAATGTTCTGCTTTCGGGTTCTATATTTAACAAAAGAGCGCAATATTATCAAGTGAAATAAAAGGCATGGGGAAAGGCATCGGGCACCTTAGTCCCATCCCCTTTTATCGCAAAGATAAATAGAAGGCTGCTTTTATGGGGGCGGCCGCCTTATTGCCGATACAATGGAATTGTGAGAGGTGGAAATAAACGACTCTCTCGAATATGGACAAGCCAAAATTTTATATTAATGGAATTGCAAATAAAACCTAATATTCTCCCTTGTAAGGCGTGGTAGTGGCAGAATAAAAGCTGATAGCCCTCTCGGAAAATGCGCCCATCTGACGGTGGGAGCTTAAGGCTCAGCAGACTGTACCTCTGCTAGGACAGAATGGTAGTAGCTGCCAGATCTTCTGTAGGATTGCTGCACAGCCAAGACAACAATTTTGGAGGCAAACATCGCTAGTTTTATTACGTACTGCACAAGTAAGTTTGACGATACACCAGTGCCTGGGAGGGGACTCGATTACCCATCAAGCCTTGCCATTGAAGCGAGCTTGAGTCCGAACTAAAGCATGCTCAACTGTTAAGTCCTTTTTTTCTACCAATCCTTGTTTAAGTAGCCAAGTAATAAGACATGGAAAGAATGCAAAGCTTCTCTTAAAAGATCAGGCAGTTATACTACCCTTATTTATTTACATATTTTTTCGTGAGTTGATAAGTTGGAAAGCAATTTTCCCATGTGATGCTGACTAGCCTTATCGGGATGGCGACTTTTGTTAGAAACAAGACATACTATGTTTTGAAAATTCTGTTACGGTGTTGAAGATTTGTCACGCAATGACTGCTGGGAGATAATCCACGCATTACTCCGGAAGGAGTAATTAAGTCAACTGTTCTAGGGAAAGGGAAGTGTCTACCGAGCTAATTGCTCCACATAAATCACAACTGTGTTCACTTAACTCCTCCCTTCTTTACACTTTGAAGACTGTTGCCCTGAAGCCTCCCTTGGAGTCCATCAAACCTAGTGCGCAGCAAGAAGACAGAGACTACTGAAATAGGTTCCCAGTTTCCTTTGCTCCGTACTGTGCACTAAATTAATAAAAATAGCATGTTCGGTCCCCGAATTGCCGGGGAATAGACAAGATCAACGAGGAACGTGCCACACTTGGATCAACGATAGTTTTGAGTGACTGACATTTCCGTGGTTTTCTGCTACAGTTCCAGTAATTAAAAAAGGGTTGTCTGAAGGACTTAACTTCCTACTTCATCGTTCGATCAAACTAGAAGAAGAGCTGCCAAGGCGGTTCTCGTTTGTCAGCTCTAAGACTCATGTGATATTAGGCTGGCACTCTGATGGAGCTGAAGTTAGAATAGTTTTGAAACTGTGTTCCTGCCTTAATGAAGATTGGAAATGGTAGCTAGCTTCTTGTATAAAAGAAACAGGCAAAAGTTTTAAGTTATTACCGTGAGTTGGGCTTTTAATGGGACCCATTCCAGGCTCAACTCCCCGAGGCCTCGGCTGCAACAGTGGCAGTACTCGCACCCTGATTGGTTGGCTCGTGAAGCCAATCAAAGCGGGAGGCAGACTTTAGTTCTTTCCACACTCCCAAGTGTAATTTCACTTAACGCGATCCTCGAGGTAGGGAGAAATGGGTTGCGAGTTCAGTGGACATCACTTAAACACCACTCTGGGTTTATCGCAACCCCGAACTTCCCAAGCAACTTCATGCTCCTCGACCAGTAATGCCTCCTCTACAAGGGGCCCCGGCAGTGCTTCCTCGATGACTTCACGTGGTTCTTTTGAGCGACGTGGAAGTCTTCTCCTTTCCTCGAGACGCGCACTAACACGTCAAAGAACAACGGAGCAAGTGGAGCACGCTGCAGTCGTTAAGCGCCAACCCCTAAATGAATATTTTACCGAATTTGAAAAGGACGTTCTTATTTCAACTTGGGAGGCACTGCTACTGTACACAAATGAGCACGGCGCGTTTATCTTTCAACTTGCTGCTGAAATGTGTCCAGAGCTGAAAACTGCTTACAATGTAGAGTAAGTCTTTGTTGTCCTGACCGGTTGAGACCTTTTGCAGCACTAATTTTACATCCAAATCTGAGGCGTGGGTCTAGCAATACTGAAGATTCACTTAGAATGAAGGGTGCAAACATATGAGGTCTGTTTAATTGTCCTCTTCAAAGACCATTCCAGTGGTTGCTTTACCACTGCCATCCCACTGCAAGACGTATACTCTCCCTAGCTATAGTGTCGTTGCAATAGCGCTGTTTTCGTTTCTCTCCCTACATTGGCTGTAGTTGGACACATTTTTCAACCCTCTTTTTGCCTTTGGCAGAAGTGATGGCAACAGCAAATAGTTTATGCATGATTGCTTCCCCAAGGACTTAAATTTGCAACTAGGACATTTATGCTCCTATGCAACATTTGCATGACAATTTTACTCATGTTAGTCATTCGTGTGAAGGCAGCTAAAGCCTTACGCGCCAACTTCCCAGCTGGTAAGAGAGGAGGAAGAGGAGAAGTAAAGGTAAATTGTTCATGCTTTGACCCAATGGCCAGTTCTGCAAAAACTTAAAAACCTCAATAAATCCAATTGCACACCTAATCACAGTTGCAGAAAATTGTCGAAACAGCAATAAACTAAAAAGAGGAGGAATCTAGTTCCAAGAAACACCCTGACGTACTCGCCTAGCTGAAAGCAATAGACATGCGTCCAGCGAAATGATTCTTATTACACAACGAATTCGGTGAGTAGCGTTTCACCTTGTCCAAAGATTGAATTCGATTGGATCTTTGTACTTTTGACAATTGGTAGGGCCAAAAGGACAAAGTAAGTTGTGGTAAATCCTCAACTTTGCTCCTCTTAGCTGATTGCATATGAAACGAGGGCAACGTAGGGAGGAACAAATGAAGAAAAATGCATCGAACCCGAGCGCGATGCAGGCTACTCTAAGTTTGCAATTTTATCAGGTTGCTGCCCAATGGGATGGAAAATTTGCCAGCCACCTGCGCAAATGTCTAACATTTGAAACCGGCCACAGGTTTCATGTAGATTAAATCTAACTCACCGAAGTAACAACTTTAAAGGGTTTGTCTAGGGCTGCGCTTACCTAGAAATACTCGCTGAGCAATTGAGCAGCTCTGGTTTCCCACATGTTCGGGTCACTCGAATATTTTATCATTTGCACAATGAACAACAGATCATAAATAAGGGCCTGAAGACTAGTCAGATTTTTGCGTAAAATTGTACTCTGCTTTTAGTCATGCCACAGGGCTTAAACTTTTTCTTTCAATCGGTAGGTACAAGAGACCGTTTAAAGTAGTTGCGTTGTCTAAAACACTTACCTCTTCGTAACTCCTTTTAAAATTTCTTTGGCTAAATGCCATTATAATGGGGAATTAACATAGAGAGGCAATCATTAATTTGAGACTTTCAGTGCTTAAAAGTAGCCGAAAATTTCCCTAATGACCATTTAATGGAACAGAAGTTAATCGCAAGGAGAGGCATAGTGTTATCTTCAAAGACTTTAACGCGAGGTTCTTGACTTCCATCGCAACTTTCTTGTTCCGCGTGACAAAAATAGGGTCCGCCAAAATGCCGCAGCATTTGAGACTTTACTGAGATGGATCGCTTTTTCAAGTAGCTAATTAGTTAAAATTTAAGCATTAGCTAAACAGTAACTGTAATTTTTGCCATCCTTATTGTATGATTTAAAACGACCACGAAAAGCTAAAACTATTCAGGTTCTAAAAATGATTCCATTTACTATAGTTATTGTTTTTCTGAATGAATGTTAGCGAGTTTGCAGTAATCAGGTTTGATGCTAACACAAAATCGATTGGTTAGTCTGTACCCAATTGGGGGCAATTGAGCCTTCAACGTGTTGGTTCCCCTTAGCAGTTTTGATAACTGTCGAAGTATTACTTAATGAACGCACACACACAACACTGACTTCCTCTTGCCGTAATCACTGTTTGGCTTTCTGACGAGGACTCGGCATTAATTTGAGGCTAAGTGAGCAAAACGAACAGATCATAAACGAGTTCTTTGCATTCGATGCCCTTATTTATGGCCTATAAACTGGTAATACGGGTCGAGCTTTCTTGGAGAAGGTAGTGATGCTTTAGCACTCGAGGTGACGTACGAAAACCCTCTGACGTGGCCTTCGAGGACTTGTTTTTACAGATTGTTACCTTCCGCATTAAGTCATCTAAGTCGGCGAGTCTGCCTATGCTGGTATCCACTGCCCACATTCTAGAACTTGGTGGACGGCAGGTTGGGCTGGGTGAAACTAGAGTTATCAAAATCAAAACAACTATTGAGTTAGGATGTGGGTGTACTTTTGGTGTCACGAAGTCGGTGTGGGCGATGAGTTTGCTTCGAGCGGGTATGTGGGTGGAATGCTGTAATGTTTCCTGTGCACCTGTTTTTCTCTCGCAGATTTAATGGGGATGACAAGATGGTATTTAACTCCTGCACTCTGCAGTACAGCCAGGCCTACATTGCTTTGATTGATGAGGCGATTCGGTCCCTGGAGAATCCTCAAGAGGGGTTCTACGATTCAATTCTCATTGCTGGAGCCAGTCATGCAGCAATCCCACACATGAAACCCGACTACTTTAAAGTAGGTTTTTTGAAGACCATTCCGTGAGGTTATCACAAGGGGAACTTTTTGGACTTTAATTTTTACTTGGACTTGACTTTTATCCGACATCTAATGTTGTTGGGTTTAAAAATTATTTTTACAAATGCGCTTACCTCTACAAAAGTTGGCATAAGACTGAAAAGTCAATTGAACCAAACAAAAGCACCAAGTAAATCTTAATAATGTGAGAATTACTGTGAAATTGCATTTTCATTGGATGAGGAGACTTCTCTTTTGATAACGGAAATTCTAGGTAGGTTTGACTCTTAGGACTATTGGGGAAGCAACTTGGACAACTTCAACTCTGCCTTCAGGTGTTTTTATTTTATTGGGAGAATAGAGAGATCTTTTTTAACTCAAGCGGTGCCACGTCGTGTGAGCTATGAAGCCACTACCAAAGAACCTTTTGCATTGCTCGAACATATCAGATCTATCTAATCGTTTTTCAGACGCCTCGATACTACCTACTCTGAAGCCATTTGTTGTTTCCTTATAGGTCCTTAAAAGGGCTACTCTCACGACTTGGGAGGGGCTGTTGGGAGAGGAGTTCACAGAAGACGTGAAGCAGGCTTGGCAGACATTGCTGGATTACGTGGTGGCAGTGATGCTGGAGGGAGGTCGTGTCTTTGAGGAGGAAGAGAGACGCTTTAGCCTCGTGGGAACAGGTGAAAACGATGACAAGGTGGAAGAGCAGACTCATATAGGTCGTCGAGCCGATGTCAAACTCAGTGAATAAGTCTTCATCTATTCCATCGCTGTATATATCCATTGTTAGTGCATAAGGATTCCGTTCCAATTTCCGCCATCTCGACTAATTTGACTTTCTACCGTGCACACACACACACACACAATGGCATTTATATACAACTATATGTATTCGGCCATGTAAATATACGCAGTATTTCCTAGCGAGATAAAATAGATAAAATAGAATTATAAGAGACATTGAGAGCATGCAATGTCTTTAGCAGGAAGCAAAAAGATGCCAAAGATTTACTAAGGAGGGCGTTCAATACACTCAAGTGGGCTCTGATTATTGACATAAAAAGGCTTGCTTGCGGGAGTAGTCAGGGCAACTCATTTGCGACTTAAATTCGTAGCACATGTAGCCACGTAACCGTTAATGCCTTCTCCAGACAATAAGACAGACTCAAACAAAGCGGCAAGCTATTATCATTACAGAAGTTTACATCATTAATTCATATTAATTAATGCTAAAGAGTGGGCACTCCTTCACCATGTTGCATTGTGCTTCACTTATTTCGTGGGTTGGGTCCTATGGGACCAAAACATTAATTAGGGAAGCCTTTATGCGAGGAGAACTGACTTTGCGTGTGATATATTTGTCTGCTCTAAGAAAAGTATGTGAGTTATTGATGGTAACTGTTTCTTTCTGAGATTGTACCTTCACAAATAGCATGCCACTTCATATACAGCTCTCAGATTGAGATTCGAACGACCAGAAATGGAACCATGATGAGAAAAAAAACAAATTATCGATAAAACATGGGAGTGTGTGTAAGGGAGAAACAAGAGATATAGCTGCACCTATTACCAATAGGCATTAGCATTTGACTTATTAAGAAAGAATACGGTTGAAAACACGTATTTTGTACTCGTGGGCTGGCCTTTGAACTTTGCTCAGACCCAGTTGCCTTGTTCCCTCTGGAATACATGTATCCGGCTTCACTAACTGTCTTCTTCCACCCGGTAGGAAGTCTCAGGACGTTACAATTTGCACAGCTTAATGATATCCTACAATGTTGGTGTAGCATCCCGAGACTTTCTAGAAGGCTCGAAGGCCAGCCCACGTGCACAAAGGCCAGACAAATCTTAAAGTGACCGCCGAACGTCGGGTAGTCACATAAACAAAGCATTACAGTAGGATTCTCAGCATGTGCCAAAATAAGGTTACGCACAGAAGACAAAAAAATAGACCAAAAGGACAGAGAGAATACAATTATAGCTACCAAAATAGCACAAGAGGTGAACACTTCAGGAACTTTTCGCGATCCGTTCTCCTGCAGCTAGCTCGATTAACCACAACCCATGTATGTCAAGATTGAAAAATTTTTAGTGACAGCGTCTCACACAGTCTAAAATCAGGTTCAATAAGCCCAAACATCAAGTGAAATATTTAACTTTCTGAAGCGGAGTTCTGTATCCTATGCGTTTGAAAAAATTTGTAATATGGTTGTGTACCAAAAATAGCTGCAAAAATTCTTGACTTCCGTTTGATCAGATAAGAATAATTAATCTCGGACAGATCATTCCGCACTCATTAATTGGTTTAAAAGTTTAGGACGATCGGCGCTCTGTCTGAGTACATTACTCGAGTGATTTTGAGGCTGTGCGGTCGGAAAGCTGTTGTCACCTAAATAAGATTCTGGTGTCAGCATATGCATAATGTACTCGTTCGAGGGGAGGTTTAAAGCAAGGCGCCAGCCACCCTATGTCGTAAGCTTTAGTGGCAAAATAAACGTTTATGCTGTTCTTGTCGGTACCTGAAAAGGATGAGACTGACGTAGCGTAAAAACAGATCATTATGTAACAAATTTAGGAATGGGTTTTGTAGATACTGTATGCTTTCGCATCCCTGGCTTTTCCTAGTTCCCCAAACTCCTTAGATTTCTGTGTATCTCATAGAGTTTTGCATGAAATTTTGGGTTCACTACCAATTTGCTGTTTATGAAGAGAGCGGTTAAATTTGCCGAATTTGGACTACTACTTGGTCTATCTACTTTAGGTTGAACCCAAGAACCTTGTCCAAAAAATGCAAGAGGAAAGAAGACTGCGAGCCGTGAGTTCTATTATGGTGAAATTTTATCAATCGTTAGACCTGTTCTGATAAAGTAGTGCATATTTTCACATATTTAGCGTGTCAACCGTCAGGAAAAGGCTGCTGTTTTGATTCAGGCATTCTTCAGAGGTGTCCATTCACGTCGCCAAACTGTATGTTTACGTTGGCGTCCTTTCGAACGGATACAAGAGTTCCCATCAAACCAATTTATTATTTCTTCCAGGATGCTATTCTCAGTGAAAGGTTTGAATTCTTATCTGAAGAAGTTTTGTCTATGCCTGGTGACGGCTCTGACGATGTCTCGTGCATCCAGTCTGTGTGCATGTGTCTGCGAACCTTTACGTTCATTTCCAAAAGGCGTATTTCCGATAACTTGGTTGTAGGTTCCTTTTTTGACACATGTGTATATATTTATAAGTAAGTACAACCAAGTTGTTCTGATTTTTCATTCGTCTTTCATTCAATTTGTTCGATATCTGGCAATTTCGATGGAAATGTAACTGCATTCGGAGCAAAGGTGTCTCGGTTATCCACTGTGGTTCAAGGCTTATCCAACCTGTAGTATATGGGTTTATGCGACTAAGACGCCATGCGCTCGGCATCGACATGCAGCATTTCACTCATACCGACCACGAAACGCATTGACACCGATTCCAGTCTATAAATGCTTTATCGACAGGGTTTCCTTTCTGTTAGGCAAAAGTCGCCCAAGTGCTTCTTACCCCAACCTGTACGTCTCTCTATTCCTCCTGGCTGGCTCAAGGTGATACTCAAAATTTGAACACAATCACTCGCGTAATCAACCACTTTCTTTCGTGAGTTGAGCCGTTCCTAAAGGATTAATTATCGCAATTTTGAATAACCTACGTTATTTGTTAATAGGTTTCTTAAAGGTGTCCCACCATCATCCTCTCCACATAATTATTCACCGCTAATGGCTGTATTGAAGCAATACTTGGTCAAACAGAGGTTGTCATGCGCAGGTCAAGCGTTGAATCATCTCGACCGTCTCTTCCTTACTGTCTGCGAAGTGGGCCACTACTTTTCTTCCATTGCTGCTTTTGTCGACCACCAATCCTGCATGCCGGAGCATGAACATTCCTTCGACGAGTACATTCGTCTGCCACAAAATCGGGATTTTCTTTACCTCATTCGAGCGCCTTTTAGCGTTAGTTTATGTCGATTATACTGCCTTATGGGCTCCCTTCACTGATGCTCGAAATCATTGTGCTCCTTCCTAGGTATATCTTTCATCTAAAGATGCTTTAAATCCTCAAATGGCTCAAAAATTGACAGCCGTCGCGGTGGCAGATGTAGCTGATGCAGCTCGACAGCAGGATGCTCGATTGGATCTCTCTGCTGGATACAAGCTTTCTCGATTTATTTTCCCACTTATGGCTGTCACCATTCCCTTCAATTTGCTTGTCACCTATCTCCACGCTTGTATTGATGGAAGTAGTGATGGTAGTATTGAAATGCTCGTTGAGAGTAACTCCCAACCCTCCTTGGGTAAGCAACGATTGCTTGTACTTCACCTATGTAGGGGCGTTAGTATCACGTTAATCAGATTGTTTTAGAAATGTTTTCATGCTATTGGCTGAATTGATGGGTAATTTACTATGGATTGATGCGGTAGAATGAAATTAGTGGCGCAACATTATGAAATTTTAAAATGAGAGTATTGTAGCAATAGCCGGCAAGTAAGGTTTTAGATGCTCTTGTGTGATACCTTTGTTCGGGTTCGTTGTTTTTTTCACAAAAAGATATGGTTTTTAGGGATTCGTTTCTTAATCTTATGCGTGATCACGCGATTCTTCCGTTGATTCATCCTTAGAGTGCGAGTCAGGCCTTGTATTTCGAAGCTGTCTGAGGAAGGATGCTTTCTACGATTTCAGTAGATCTTTAAATCACGAACTTTATTGGTTTTTTGTAATTATTTTCCTTGTTTCTTGTATTTATACTGAAAATGGCGATTTTGTGACTCATCTTTTTTTCAGATATCATTTTGTTTGTGATTTTTTGTATGAAAATTGTCAATTTCATGAATTAATACCCACGTAAGTAAACTAGCCCCTACAAACTGGAAATACAAATGAGGGAGTTTGCTTAAGAGTAGGCATCACGCTTGCAGGTCCCATTACGTCTTCCCCATCTATCCTTTTTACAGACCTCCTCTTTGCCTTTCTGTCTGGGCCTTTGCCGCGTTTTCTGCAAGAATGGCGCTCTGGTTCCGGTACCCTAGCCATTCAGGTTATCCGCATCCTAACCTGGATGTTCTCATCCCTGATTGCATCCAGATGCCCTGCTGATGGTAGCACAACCGTCTTCTCACCTCCCTTCTCTCCTCTCCCCCTTTCCGCCGAAGCTCAGTCTCTCACGGAAGACGTGAGTTTGAGCACTGACAGCGAAACTGATACCGTCGTCATGACACCATTGGCGTCGGTTGAGTCTCGGTCATCCAATTCGCCTAGGAAGCAAGGGGAATCTGATGGGACTCCATCGCGGTTTACTGATAACTGGGTGCGTGAGATTGGCTGAATGATTGAGTGATTTGAATGTTTTCAATTCATGACTTCGAGGTGGGGTGTGTGTGATCTAAACTACATTAAGGCTAGACGATGTCCTGGCGCTGACGTCTCTAAAACTACTGGTACCCTGCATTTTTTGGTGATGAAATGGATTTTCACAACGATTGAACCTCCGCCTAAAAGGTAAGGAATCTTCAGGTAGTCCCGTAAGAGAAAGAACTGATTTTATTTGTGCGAATTGTAACCCTTATGAGTATAAACAGGTAAGGAGCACTCGAAACGTATTTATGACATCGGTAATAGATCCACTAAAAGAATTCGTTCTCACAACGGTAAGGGAACGAATCGTATGGATATTGGTACAATTAAACAACCGTTTTACTTGTTTTAAGTCACTTTCTGTTGTGTTACTATCTCATCTTGCAAATTTGTAACGTGAGACATAAAAGGTGAATCTTTCTATAATCGAATCCCCTCTGTCGACTGAATATTGGAACAACTGCGCATACATCGGAACGGACTTGGTTATAAGTTTATTGGGCCGTTGACTCAATGAACTCATTGAAAATCGCAAGTCACTAAATGGTGTAAATCTCCCCCTGGGCCGGTTTTTTCTTCAGGGTATGAGTAAGCATTTATCGTAAAGGAGACTTAATCAAAGCTTATGATTCAATTATTTGGCGTTATACCACTGCTCAATATCTACATCACTCTTTAATCGGGCAGCTCTGCACTAAAGTTATTTCTTGCACTAAGCAAAATTTTGGTTTTTATGCTTTGCCTCTGGCTATGAATATGTTATCTTTGGAAGTTTTATTGTACTCATTGGTAGTATATTTCCTCTAGCCGGGCCAAACCGCCGATGTGTTCTATCAGCTTCAGAAGTGCCTCCCACACTTGGCTCAAGCGGTCCTGAACGACAGTTACGGAACAGTCTTGGAACCCTTAAATGGTGGGAACTCCAAAGACGTGGTTGATTGCCTTCCTGTCCTCTACAGTATGCTCGCCTTCTTTCGGCCCATTGCTCCGCGACCCATGCGTATGTATGTATCAGTTTTCCTAGTTATAAACGTCTCTGCTAATACCTTGTCAGTAGTTTGTCTGAAGACAATGCTCTTTTTTGCTCTCCAGTTTAACTTCTTCGGTGGCCAAACCACCGCAGTTTCTGCATGAGCTGTGGGCAACGGCAATTAAGATGCCCACTGACGATGGTAAATACAAACTCTTTGACATCGTGGCATCGGGAATAATGCCGGAAATACCAAAGACAATGGACAAGTGAGTCAAAAACCATAATTACCTTTGTGAGGTTGATGTTAGGTTTGGTTTCATAGGTGGGATATAACAAGACGTCTATCTGTCATGGTAGGTGAAGTAAATACTTCTGCTATTAGTCATTTCAAATGTCTCGTAAGATTTTGCTTTAACTCGTTTGGAAATGATACCACAGACTTGCCTTAGAATGTCAATCCGGCTTTCCATGTTTCTGTGTAGTTCCAGCATTGGAACCTTTGTATCCTAGTCATCTTTCTGTTCATGGGGAACCAGAGGCCTGGCCTAACTCGTGGTATTTCTTTTTCAAGGTTCACGGGTGTCCTATTGACCTTCCTAAACAGTCTCAATCATCGACTCATCTTTCTAACCGACGCAGAAGTGAGTGCCGAACCAACCGATATCAGTGGTCTTAACATCTACGGCTTCGATCCCTCTGAACTCCTCGTCGTGGGACTGCGTCTGCGTGATCTTATGCTTGGTCTCATTGATCTCCTCTACCCTCTTCGGCCCCCAGCACGGGCTCGACCGGGTGGCATCTACGTTCCTGTGACTCTGCGCGAAGTCATCGAGCGTGTGGAGTTGCAGCGTATGTCTGAAAAGGGTCCCTCTGCGTCTGGTTCGTCTACTACTGCTGCCATTAGCGCTTCAGGTGAACTGACAGACGATGAAGAGGAGCGTCTTCGGTGGTGTCTGCACCGCTGGCGAACGCTCTTTCTGGCCGCCCAAAAGGTGGTAGCTCAGATATACGGTTGGCATCGCAGGCAACAACACCAGGAGGACTGGGCTCTGAGCCTCGAGACTGCGGGAAACGTTGAAAGTTCCGAGTGGCTACGTCCCGAGGTTGTGCCTGACTTCAACAACAAGCGCACTGCCACTTGGATGGTGGAGCGATATTTGGAGTTGCGAGACAAGAATCTGACTAGGGCGCAGTTGGGATACTTTAGCTGTCTCAATACCAATCGGAGTAAGGTGTTTCTTCATGCCCACTAACACATTATGGCTAAGTATTAGTGGTGGTCGTCTAGTTTTTTACCTTACTCATTTCACTACATTTTCTGTTATTCTCAAAATTAAGCCCCATTTTTCCTCTTATTTTCGAAGTGTATTGCAACTAAGATGGCGTAGGAATATTGTGTCTGCTACTTGTGACCATTTTTAGCTATTGTCTTGTAAACGAAATTTTGTTTTTTTCTCCATTATTTTTTAATTATAGCTGAACATAAGTTGACCGCTATGACGTGTATGGATTGGCGCAAGATGACGACCATTCTTGAAGTGCCCTTCATCTTTCCCTTCTGGGATCGAGTTAAGGTGATTTCAGCTTCTAACTTTATTATTATTGTCATGCCTTTTGTACTTGCTTCAAGGAAATCATTTACGATTGAAGTAGAATAATTTGTCGTCGCTCTAGAATACTAACGAAATCATTCTACCATGCCATTCATCTGCCACAAGTCTTCTGTTGAGTTTTAATTGTTCTGACCGACAGGACTCATCACGGAATCCTGTTCGGCATCGATCACGTTTCGTAGAAAAAGGCATTAACAAGCACTGTGAAGGATTTCATGCATTTTGGCTGCGATAATGCATACCTTGTTATTGTTTAAGTCCGGCACCACTATTGCAAGGGCTGAATTTTTAATCACCTCCTTGTCTCCGCCTGAACTATTTGCAGTAGCTACAGTAGCGAAAAGAAGTATCTCCCTCCTTTTCAAGTGGATTCACCACGATTAGCATCAATTTAGCGTCTGACTCAGCTGGAGTTGACTTGACCTGTGTCGAAGTTGGAGAAGCCCTTCTATTTAACATGGTAATCACTAGGACGACTACCTCGCCTTTGGTTTTTGCCGCACATTTTCTTTTTCATACTTTAGCTTTTCGTCTCGATGGTTCGTCATTTCCGCCTTTCCATTCAAGGCACGCCCGAGTTCAACTACATGTCTGGAGGGGGCAGGACGCGAACCATTAACATGCAAATTCGTCGCGACCATGTCTACGAGGACGCTTTTACGTCTCTGTTTGGCAGTCAAGGTAGTCACTTCTGTTTTTTATTGTTGCAGTAGAAACGAATTCGAAACGAAAAGAAGGAATGCGATGTGTCGTACGAGGTAATTGACGGTGGCTGAAAGCGCGTTGAGCAAATGGAATGCCATTATTGTAGCATTTTTGCCGCAATTCCACGATTTTTAAACATAATAAAAACACTGTTTTTTGCCACTGTTTCAGCACGTAAACTGTCTCTTGAGGTACCTTTTTTGGACTTCTAAACTAGATAGACAGATCAATGATTAACAGATGCCACCAACCATGATAGAAGAGCATTTTGTATTCACTGAATTGCTTTATGCTCAACTAATCCCTTTTTTGACGCAATTCGGTGAAATTGCTTATCAAACGGCACTTTGCCTCTAAGAGGAAAACGAATGCGCGTGTGTTGTTGTAACCAGAGCGAACTGAAATGACTAACCTCAGATTACGATACTTGTTTTTGACATAATCCCAATCCATCAGTGACGGGAACTCTGAGGGAAACCTTGATTCGTGTATAATCTTCTCGGTGCTTAACGTCGCATCAGAATTGCTTTAATCTTGACTCAAAGGGACGTCATGTGACTTGTTTAAACCTAAATAAGTTAATTTTTATGGAGAATAGAAAAGTAGACAATTTCAAAGTCCATCTTCTTTAAATAGGATGCCTCCCCTGTCGAGACTTGTCCCAGTTGACACCTCTTGATGTAGGGTTTTATTGGATCGTGCAAGTCTCAGTTTTCACTTGTCGAATAGGAATTTGTGGAGTTGAAAGGAAAACGTAACCAGACACAATACCTTGTTATGAGTTCTTAACCTCTTTATTCAGTGTCCTCCTTTCATCCTCGCTTCATGGTGACCTTCTACAATGAGGCGGGAACGATGGAAATGGGCATCGATGGTGGCGGTTTGTGTAGAGAGATGCTGCTGGAGGTAATACGTCAGGGCTTCGATCCCTCTCGTGGTCTCTTCCTTTACAACGATGACCATGCTCTCTACCCTAACCCAGACGCGGGTGCATTGATGGAGGACCATGAAGCACACTACGCTTTTCTCGGCGCCATCCTTTCTAAGGCAATCTATGAGGGTATGGTAGTGGACCTCCAATTTGCGCCCTTCTTCCTGGCCAAAATTGTCAGCCCCAGTAAAAGTCTCAGTGTCGACTTTAATCATCTACGCTCATTGGATCGGGAACTTTACAGGCATGTTATCGAACTCCTTCCATTCCTGTTACTGCTGTCTTATTTACTGTCACAAAACCATCAACGATAGCCGTGGGTGATTGGAATAATGTTCTATTTAAGCTGATCTTGCTTCATTGGCAGTGAGTTTCCCCACATCCATCCACGGTAATGTTTAAAGTTATAACCGCACTTGTTGCTTCCTCCTCAACTATCCTCTAGATGTTCTACTCTGCGCACCGTCAGTAGGCACTTTTGCCATTGCCCCTTGGGTAATGTGGACTGTTAGGGAAAGATCTGAGTCATGCCGAAACATGCAATGTAGATCATGAGTTCCCTGTAGGAAGTAGTTGAGGTCATATATGCCTGGAGAACGTCGAAACTGAGAGGAATCGTGTAGACCAACGTTGGCACTTTGCTAAGGCGAAGAGCAACTGGATTTTTTTGCGAGCATGAAGTTACAATATCATTGTTTAAAATAAATTTTGAGTTTGTAGATGCCTACTTTTTGTTTAGTGCCATTCCCACAAGCTATGGCGTCTTGTTCGTTCTTCAGGCAGTTGTGCAGACTGAAATCTTATGAAGGCGATGTACGCGATTTGGAGTTGGATTTCACCATCGTTCAGCATATCTACGGGAAGAACACTGTGGTTGAGTTGAAACCTGGTGGTGCCTCCATCCCCGTGACGAATGCCTCGCGAGTGGAGTACATTAACCTGGTAGCCAATTATAAACTCAACAAGCAGGTAATTCGCTGGTTGACCTTTACCCTCTCATGTGGTGTTGTGCTTCTTCATCTACCTTTAAGCGCTGCATAATGCTTGAGACTGGAAATGGGCTTAGCATAAGTGTGAGGAACAAGTACGAATTCAATGAATTAGCATTGTGAAGGTTGCGGCTTTAGTATGTGGAACTTCTGAGCTGCTCAACCTTCTTTTGATGAATTTCATCTAGAAGACCTCCATTTTACTGAGCAGTGGGTAAGGCTATGCAGTCAACGCCATTAGTTTTTTGTCAAAATATTAAGCTAGCCATTGGGTGGCAAAATTATTTGACCTTGTGTTATGGGGCCGTTGTTCCTGGCAATGTTAAAGTCAGTTTGTTGGTGGACCCTTCTGCTGAACTTCAAACCATTGTTAACGTGGTTTGGCCTCAGTTGCATCCAAAGGCCCGATGCAGCAACAAATCTGAAAGTATCTTTATTGCCTAAGAACAGCCCCGTGGGATTAATGGATAGAAAGCGTCAATGAAGCTGGGTGGCATTAACTAAAAAGATCGACCTAATGAATAACACATGCTTATCAACCCAGTGTGTGTGTGTATGGGTGTGATTTGAAATGCATGGGTTTAATGTGAGCCCAACTGACACGCTGCTTTACGCAAAACAGTTCTTCACTTTCCTAAATGCCTGCGCCTATCTGGTACTTTGAAATCACTAGTAGGACACGAAAATAGGCAGCATGAAGCACCCACAAAGTTGCAGGACCTTTCTTTTGTCGTTAAACTTTCCTTTCATGTAGTTTGAAGAATAAGTAAAGGTCATAAGTCTCCACCTTTTGTTTTTTTCTCTCTCTTTCATTGACGCTGTGCAATCGATAGGTACCACTTTCTCAACTTTTCTCTACTTGAATGGATAGAAGAACCATATTCCATTGGCGAATCTTTTGCATTCACTGCTTTTGTATTAGATGCTCAAGTTTTAATTGCACAAGAATTGAGTCACATTGCCCCTTGAAAAGGGGTCCACAATTCTTATAATCATTTTAGGCAAAAAGTACGTATTAAACACTCTACTGTATCTGTCAAACCGATTACTGCATTTACGGTTCACGTCTCGTTGACAGCCAGTTTCTTTCAATGTCTAACGTTTTCGTCTTTGTGAATTGTTAGTAGCACTTGTTCACTCACCTTTGTATTTTCACCTCCTCGCATTAAAAGCACTTTATGTTGAGCCTGCTTGTGTGCACTTGGCAGAGTGGCAACTTCATGTGTTTGACTAATTGTTACAACTTACTTTTCCCTCCCATCTCCAAGTCTCCCTCCCCTTTTGTCTCCTTACTTGCAAGTCACCAACTTCTATTTTACCCCCGACGCCTCTGGTAGTAAAGGTAATTTGTGGGGCATTTGCCACACAGAAGACACCGTTCTCCTTCCACACTTGATTGGCTGTTTGAAGCATTTTTCTGTTGCCGTTTTTCTGCTTTGAACGTATTATTATCTCACTGGGAATGGAGATGGAAGTGTGTGCTGCAGTTGTGGACAGCAACGTGCAAGTCAGAATATTTGTTCGTACCAGCTTCCTCCAGTAGCAAGTTTTTTCAATAGTATAATTTGGAAGAGGGCTCTAATTGGGCGTCTTTTGCATTTATACGCGTAGGCAGATTGGCAGGAACCTGGTCCGCTCCCTTATAATGCTTGTTAGGCAAGAGTTCGTCACAAGTCTATACCGTTTCGATACTCCCTTTGTAATACGCATACACTTCGGTTGACACTTGGTTAAGGTCTCCGTTCTTCAGGGCGTTGGCAAGGCCAGCATTATTTGAACTAGCCTGCTTAGCTTGTTGCACAGGTTAAGTGAAGTCTTGCCATTTATTTCTTGGTTAACGATAGATTTTGCACCAGTCGATGTCCTTCCTCTCGGGTATGTCTAGTGTCATCGACATCAAGTGGTTGCAACTCTTTGATGCCGACGAATTGCAAATTGTCATCGCAGGAACACCCACTGATATTGATGTGGACGATTGGATGCAGAACACGCAGTTTGTTGGAGGTCAGTTAGCCCATGGAAACAAATGCTATTGCACTTTTTTAATTTCCATTGAACGTTAGTCGTTTTGGTTGTTTGTTCCTTCCTTGAAAAGCAGACCACAGCAACTTGCAAAAAGGTGGTTTGCATGCTCCACTTTTGCACTTCTACTCCCTCTTCCCTGCAGACATGACAGATGAGCAAAACCAGCGGACGATAAACCTCTTCTGGGCGTTTGTACGCGATCTGGGGGAGGATCAGAAACGCAATCTCATCCGTTTTGTAACGGCATCTTCACGACCACCAATGTTTGGCTTTGGGGTCAGCTGCTTGTCATTTTTTTTAACACCAGTACTCTTTTTTGCCAATCTAGTAAATGCAGTTTTGTCGAATGTGTTTCAGTTCCTCTATCCACCATTCACAATTCAACTGATCTCCGACACCAGCCACTATCCTACCTCCAGCACGTGTATGAACCTTCTAAAGCTACCCACCTATCAGACGGAGGATGAACTGAAGGAGAAGTTCCTTTACGTGATCCAGTCGAATGCCGGTTTCGAGTACAGCTAGGCACTCGCATCTTGTGCTTTCTCTCCTGTCTCCTAACATTCGTCTCTCTCCTGCCCCGCCTGTACCATCTGAGTGTTCCAACTTCTATTTTTTCCATGATCCCGGTGTGGTGGACTTGTTCCACCCTGTGCAAAATGTATTGAAGTCAATTTATATTGCTGTGCATTGTTTGGATCGCCTTTTGAGATTTCCATTCAAGAAGAGGAGTTTGTTGTAGTCTGATGAGCAAATCCTCGACTGATGCACTGCATACAGGTGGTTTGGAGCTGGAATTGGAGTTGATGGTGCAACAAAGACTTCGCAACTCCTCACCTCTCTTGGTTGTTCGTGGATGATCTTTGTTTTTCTCAGCACAATTTTATTAAAGTCAGTTTAAACAAACTGGCATAGCCTCTGTAAGGAAGAGCAGTTTTAAAGAGTTTACTTAGAAGGAAGCAGTGATGTTAACCTAGTGATGGTTCACTGTCAGTTAGGGCGCCTCTTTTTGCAAATTCATGATAGATAGTTGAGTCAAGCGGACTTGTGGACTGCGCATCGTCAGCTAATCGCGTGCTAATGTAGCCTGGTAGCAGATAGTTTAAAAAAGGACGCAGAACGCAATGTCGTGGCGTGAGTATTACGTGTTTTTGTTCCATCTCTTTCGTTTTTCTCCTATTCTCGAGTGTATTTGCCAAAGCTGTCACCAAGGCACCGCCAAATTTACCTCTTGAGTTATGGTAGACATCATGGAGTAGCAAAGGTAGCGCTAATTTCTAGCAAGTGGGAAGCCGATAAATAACAGACAGCTGAATGCGTCTACTCCCATTGGCTGATTTTAATTGGTCTACTGAAGAGTATATTCAGTAGCGCTTTAAGTACATTATTTAAAAATTGCTTACTTTTTACAAACAATTTCAGTGTTATGTAGAGGATCTTTAGCTCAGTATTTTAGACATTAAATCAAACTGCAAAAGTTAGGTGTTTTGCATGTGTGTGAGGCTTGCTGGTGCTCGCTTTGGTGGTGCTCTTAAAGTGTACGTTCGGTATTGCTCGCCGTGAAAGGACATGTCGTAGAACGAGGTTGCCTTACTACCAACTGCAAATGCTGAGCCATATTTGTGCAATATTTTGTGCATCACTCAGACTGCTTTCTCAGGACTTCAAAACGCCATTCATTTTCATTTTATGGGAGGATGAAGAGCCTCTGGAATACGCCATATGAGTGGATATTGAAAAATATTCTTCAAAGTCTTCAATTTCGAACCTGTGGCATAGGCAAACCTTTAGTACACTTTTAATTGAAGACAAGAGATTTTAAAAAACGCTTTTGCCTCTGAAAGAGAAACACAGCCAGCAGATGTTGCCTATTCAAACTGGAATATTTGCAACGGTCGTAAAAGTATGAATGCGTTTAAGGTCAGTGCACAGCACTAACTCTTGCCCTTACGGCAAGCGAGTTTGCTTTTAAACAGCATCTTACCGCACACTGTGTATCGAAAGGTATCATGCAAAACAAGATTATCACATGCTAATGACTCCATCACCACAAACGCGTGGAGAGAATTTTCATTTCCAGAAGGAGTAACGTGAAATTCCCACACCACTTCCTTTACGTAGCATCAGATGTTCTGGCCGACCAATTTAACCGATCCAGTTTCCATCCTCTCGGAAAATGGATCACGAGAATTTTCAATGGTAAAAGCGTAGTGCAATTATCCATTTTGCCTTAGCTGTTCATCCCACCATATTTCGAGCCTTTTGAGAGGTGTCAGGTAAAAATTTTTTCCAATCTTACCTATGAACATAAGACTTGAAGAAAATAATCTGATGAAGCAAAAGTTTGAACTTACCTAAACTGCAAGTCATCATTGTAACATCAACAGTATACCACAAGCACCATCGTCACATAGTCGAGGTAACGGTGGTCTTAAGTCACAGATTTTAAATCGCCACTTCTCTAAGTTGTCCAGCCGTCTAAATACTTAAGGCTTGGAAGTGGAAAAGAAAGAAATGTCGCTGAACTCCTTAGGTTAAAAAATCTTTAACTCAACTGCCTGTTGGCAGATTCAGAGCTCTAATAGTGGATTGTGGAGTTATTTTAGCCACCCATGGTTAGCATGTGCTCCTATGTGTTAAAAATTTGACAGATAACAAGATCACTGACTCCATACATGTTCACAAATTGCATTAATCTGTAGTATTGAAATACAAATGGAATAAGATAAACCCCAAATTGGTCAGATATTTCAGCATTGCAGTGTATTTCAGCTATCTAGAAGCAAAACAGATTGCACTTGCACGTGCTGAAGGTGAAATTCCTCCAAAAAAGGAGCAAAAGTTAAGAAGAGTGAAATAAGGCAAGCATAGTAGCAAAAAAAACTGTTGTGGGTGATATGGCTGTAACCTCCAGAGACAGGCCATTAGATAATGAGAGTCAGCTGAATTTGCAAAGAACTTGTAATCAGAGAAGAAGGATAGGCTTGTCAAAACCCAAAGACCAGCCCTCCAGGTCTACTTTATATTGTTCCACAAAGAAATCGTCACTCATACAAGTAGTCGGTGCGACCAAACATTCCAGTGTTTTTTAGTTCGAATTTGCGTCGGGCATTTGAAATATTAAACATTCCCTTTTTTGCTCCTTTTCCACAAGTGGATGTTTTGTACTCCTTGGTTGTTCCTTAAAAATGTAATGCTTTATGACATGCCATGGAGACAATGACCTTAAATTGTTTTAATTTATAAACAACGCGTAAAACTATGGTTTATCTAAATTAAAGAGTAATTAATTTACCTTAGCATTAGGAGATCCTACTCAGTATTAGCTTTCTGATTAATAAGAAATGCTCTCAACGTCGCAAACGAAATCGCAATGCCATAATCCATCTTGATATTTGTTAGTGTTGGACTTCACCATTCGTTTTAATGGTGTCGGGCAAATAAAAAAATTTGCTCAAATCCAAAATCAGCAGAGTCGTAATGTGCTAAAGCAGCTAAATTCGTTAATTCTTTTTTAATTTGTGTTTATTAGAAGTGCAAAATTGCTGTTTTGAAAGTATGGTTGCCATCACAGGTTCATGTTAAGTTTGACAGTCATAAGTAAACATCCCCAATTGGTGCCTTTACTAGTAGGAGTTCTCGTATAGACTTTAAATGACCACCCTCTTTTACGCTGCCCTTCCGTATCAGCAGGCCCTTTCTACATGTTATATGAAATTTTGACAGCCTTCTGATGTCTTTTGATCTAATTTACATTTTTAATTCTACACACATTGCGTAGCGATGAAAGCGGGCAAACCAGTGGCATCCGCATGGTCTTTAAACCTAAAGGAGTGGGATTAATGGAAGTATTGCGATTGATACTCCTGCCACGGCTAATAATTTATGCGTCGTCCCCACTGATCTCCAGTATTGGTTATTGCTTACTGCATTATGAAAACAGTCGCACCTTTTGAAAAAAATGATGAAACTATGCAACTTACTAGTTTGCTATGGTTGTTCACTTTTGTGATTTGATAAAAAGATTATTTTGGATAAAACGAATTCATTGTCAATTTTGTAACCCCCATTACAACATTGACTCTTGAATATAATGTTTGCTATTTTTTCGGCAATGGCGGAGACAACATTAATACCAAGTTGAGAGAAATGCATTGTGGGACTCCCGTGCGTTAAAAAGTCAAAAGTAGATATTATACTCGTTTAGTAGAGCCTATAGCTATTACTAGTGTTATTTGATCGAGATCAAATCAGCTAATTTTTACTAATTTTCGGGGTCATTTATGATTTTGTGGCATAAATTGGTGAATGGGGAGTTTAGGGGCCGATGAACTTCAATGGAGTCAGAATCCAGCACAAATACAGAAATGTAAAGAACAACCCTCTTGCAGTAATCTAAAAAAAATTGTAAAAGACGACCTGACAAGTCAGTGTAAGGCAGATGGAGTGGTCGATGCTGTTATCAATTCCTCGTTAATAGTTATTGTGCCTATGGGATCGGCGAAGATTGCCAAGGAGTATGTGATTTTGAAATAGAGTTTTGGAAAACTATTGTCCATTATATGTTCAAAAACTGTGTAATTTTTTTCAATTTAGGCTTTCTTATCCCTCACGTCGTTGGTACGCTTTGTTGATGCCTAAGTACAGGATGACATTCCTTCTGATTGGAAAGGAAGCTGCTCTTCGAACTTAACCATCATTGATTTAGTTGAGTTGTTAATTGAACGTTCAAACGAATTTCTTCACGTGAACTGTCGAGTAATCTCGAAATTTTGCACGATCTGATCAATTTTAGCTATTCATTGCATAAATGAGTACATTTTCACGAAGTGATACCCCTTGAGCCCCCATATGGGATTCCACTTAGTAAGCGCTTCTCTGTTGTCGTTGTTTGTCCCACTACTACAACTGCCAGCATTTATGAACACCGCTACCATTAAGTGATCAACATTCATAGACTTCGAATGATGGGAAACAAATTATGCAATACTTTGCACTGCAAACATAACCAGTTGAGTCCGATTGTTTTACAGGTCTAAAGCTGCAAGGTTTTGTTTATGTAATCACCCGACGTTTGGCGGTCACTTTAAAATTTTTCGAACATTTGTACGCGTGAGCTGGCTCTCGGACCGTTCTCTTTGCAGTGCATGCATCCAGCTTCACTTACCGTCTTCTTCCATCCGGTGGGAAGTCTCGAGACGCTGCAAAAGCGTCTTCTGGCCAACTTAGTTTCCTAGCCTTGAGGCTGTTTAAGTCCTTTAGATGAGGCAAATATGCTTGCCAAATTGGTGGTGAACTGTGCCTTAAAATGATTACCAAACTGCGGTTAATCTTGATCGTACACACTCTGCCTTAAAGCAAGGCTCGTGATTCAGTATTAGTTCTGTTATATTTTTGCCTTAGGCGATTGCTGCCAGATTTTGTAACATAAAAGTGCCTCGATTTGGTTCCGTCGAATACTCGTTCCACCTTGGCAACCACTTGGCGGTAAGCTTCTCGCACACTCTCATTTGTGCTAAATTTTATTATTAAACAAATCAACTTTTATTGCGCTACCCATAAAACATGGAGAAATGACAGAAATGCAAGTACTCCACCGCTGTCGACTTTATTTCACGTGTTGGATTTGGAGGAATGTTAGGGGTCAAGAATTCTTTACTACATATTGGTCCATATTACTTAATAAAAAGTGGATAACATTCCAATAAGAATAAGTAAATTTTAATTAATACCACACGGAAATTTTAACATCATTATTGAACTGTGAAAATATTTCAAAAATGCAAAAGTAAAGATACTACTTTTTCCGAATAATAATTTAATACTTTGTTTATGTGACTGCCTGACTTTCGGCGGTCACTTTGGGACTTGCCTGGTCCCTGTACATGTGGGCTGGCCTTTGGGCCATGCTGAGGTTCAGCTACTCTGCTCCCTTCGGAATACGTGCATCCAGCCTCACTCACTGCCTTCTTCCACCCCATGGGAAGTCTCGGGGTGCTACAGATCATCCTAGTTCTTTGTGGTTTTGGATTAAAATATGATTGCAATCGTTCATTCAAATCAATCAAGTTTTCGTAAACGGTGGCCCCAGTGGCGCCCACTCGTAATTGTAGGAGTTTAATGCTGAATGAAGTTTTACTGGTGTCTCAAAACCAGACTTTATTTGTTTAACACTTCGAGGGGTTCGTTTTCTTGGCATAAATTCACACTCTCCTATTACCAAACGCAAATGTGGAAGTAGTAAATGCGAAATTTGCCTGTCGGCTGTCTGACTGTTTGCCTCACCACTGTCAGCTGAACCGTGGACCTGCAGAATGCAGGTACTTCATAATCTGCCTAAAGTAACGCCTTGTCTATTCGTCTTTCTTCTTTCCTTTGAACGATTACTTGCTGAAAGTATTTAAGAGGTAAAGCCCAAAGTCCAACACTCACATGATCCTTCCTTGGCATTCAGTCTAGTTCGAGACAAAACGCTAAAAGTGTATGCACGGATATATATTTAGGTTGCCTGATCAGATTAATATAAATAAACAGGCACTTTGGTAGAAAAGGTGTATCACCCAAACATGAAGCTTGAAATTCACGACAATAGAGGATGAAAGAAAGCCAGGAAGTCGGTAGAATAAGTCACTTGTAAATCACTACAGGCTTTAAGTTTGAGTCTGGTGGTCTACCCACTTGTTTAGCATGAGTCTCGCAGTAGAGCTTCTCATTGATGTAAAAATAACCTACATTCCTCAGTCCAATGCCACATTTGCAGCACTTCAGGCATGAGGGATGCATGGGAATTCGACTCTGCACTCTCACAAACTGCCCACCTGTGATGAGGTCCTGACACGCTCCACACCGCATACTTCCACCGAACACTTGCGGAGCTGGTCGAACATTAGACAGATCTGCCCCTGCTGAAGCGATTGTACTTCTGAAGGATGTATCCACATTGCCTTTTGAATACAAACCCATTGGAGAATTGTAGGAGGAGTGCGAGAGGCGTTGAAACCGTCCACTTGGATCCTGGGATATCATTGCTATCCCGGCCCTTGGAATACCGCATGTCAATTCTGCTCCCCCGTTTATGTCCGTTGGTCGAATAGTTGACTCGGAAGCCGAAGAACTCTGTTCAAGAAGGATAGAAGCTCCCAATTCCATGGAGTTTCCCTTATCATTTCTCTCTACGATCATTTCAAAGGCATTGTTAGACCGAATGATTTCCATTTTCGCGTCCTCATGCCTCATGAATCTCGTGTCAGCAGAATTTATACTCACGATGATGTCTCCCGGTTTAACACCACAAGCTTCAGCAACACTACCAGGAGTTACTCTCTGGATGTTCAGAGCGTGTCCCAAATCCAGGCCCCCTTCCAGACGAAAGCCCCAAGGCACGGAGCTGTCGGGACGGGAGAGTTGAATGCGCAGCAACGCGGACATCTCCTAGCTGCGTGCGTGTGGGTATGTTGGTGACCCTTAACGAATGTGTAGGGACACGTTTGTGCCGAGTGGGCAAGACGGCACGCGCTTTGTATACACTTCTGGCTTGCACAGACAGGTGTGGAAATAACCTTGGCTTCTGATTGGCCATCACTTCACCAACTATTGTAACCGGAATCGATGGTGTGGCGTATCTTAGAGTTTCCTCTTGAATGCCTGAATTTCTTCTGCTCACACTCATATCTGGCTCAGTAGTCTCAAACGACTGTACCAACTCTTAGCAATTGCAAAATGCAAAAGAAATGAGAGCTTATGGAAGATAAACACTCGTTTTTTTTTTAACGAAGAAGCCACTCGTGTTTCAGTGTACGTGCACATCCGTTAAGGTCCGGGGATTCACCACCTCAATCATTGTGAAAAGTGGGACTATCATTTGCTATCCTGAATCATCTTCCCGCCTCCATCTCGTTTTTAATACCAAACCAGACTTGATTTATCGTTAGGATTGACGCAGCTAACAAATTGCAAAGTTTTGGTTTCGACTTTTTAGAGTCCCCTCGTCCTACAACCAAAGTTTTAGCAGAACCACACATCTGACCTATAAAATGACCATTGGAAGGATGTAATTACTACAGATTTTGTTTCCTGACGGTTTTGGCAGCGACTCATGCAGTGTGTTCATGAGTACTTAACATACCTTTTAGGCAAGACCTATTGTGCATGTTGGATCGTAAATCCCAAGTTTTTTCACTTAACGGAGACTGGTGTGATAAATCCGGAGTGCAGAAGTAGTGACATTTGAGGTGGCTTATAAAATAGCACCAAACAGGAGGTGCATCACTCATCTTCTGGCAGTTTGAACTAAACGGGGTGAAGAGACAGGCAAGGGTAAACAGGTTGGGAGAGAGAGAGAGAATGCCCATGAAATGATACATTACCCACTGAAAGAAAGGTTGCTGAGGCCGGTCCCAAGACAGCTAAACGAGGCGAGAGAGTGGGAGTAAGAGAAACGGAGAATAAAGGTAATTCAGACCTCCAAACCACAGCTTACAGACTTCACCGTACTGACATTGCAAGCTCTTGCCATTTGGCGGCGCTGTGATAAGATTACGATGGAAAATGATTACAAAATTTATGAAAATTCTGTTATTTGCACGTCTAGTCGACAGGTAATCGTGCAGCTTTTTGGCGTTGACGCCATTTAACATCTCGTAACTGTTTTCCAGAATTAAAATCGTAAAATCACAAACACAAGCTATCCTAGGCTTAATGCAGAGCATGAGGGACCCTTTTTTATGCAACTGCAAAAGTCACATTTGCCGAGATGTTTAAATGCATGCCTGACCTCAAAATCCAATGCCTTCTTGCCTTGGTCAAAAAGTGATGCATGACCTCAGTTTCCCAACTTACAGAGATTACTACAGTGTGACACTAACATTTATTTTTAGGATGAGTTGGGTATTTTAGAACTGGGTTTAATAACCCATTGGAGGCATAAAAATTCACTTATTTTTATTTTTTACTCCGAATATAGGAAATAATTATTCTTTTCTGCAAATCCGAAGGTTTTGGTTTTAGTTTTTTTAGGGAACAGAGCGCGACTCGAAATCCTCGTTTTTCCCATGAACCGTTTTCAGATACGACTCTATAAAAGGCTCTTATAAATTAATAATAATTTTAACACATTTTGACTCCACCAAGAAACGCATGCAAGCTACTTCTTACAATTAAAAGGTCAAAGATTTTGATAGATTTTTTACGAAAATAATTCACATGCATGCAAACACAATCGCTTTTGTCTTTAAATACAATAAAGAATGTGCCATTATAAACAAATCGGTGAGTTTTTGAACTATTTTGCCAAAGAATGACAGTTCGAGAGGCCTGCTTTGTGGCTGCAATTTACGTAATCAGTAACCACAACCACAAAAATGAAAAGCACACATTAAACGACTCCCAAAAATTGCCAATTTTGAAACCAAAGATGTCAGTTTTGACAAGCATTCCAAATATTGCTATAAATACAACGTCGGATACCATATACATTGAATCTAAAACGATAAGTATCAATGAAAATTGTTTTGCAACGTGTCAGGGACGAATAAATATATAAATTTCAAGACAGAGAACTAGTTGTGTGTATATAATTAGCATGTAAAATAATGTCACTGATATTCTCAGCTTGGAAAGACTTGATTATCACCTCCCCCATTAAATGCTTTTGAATCATTTAAGCACAATCAAAAATCTGCGTTATGGTGACATCCTTGAAGGGTGTGGCTACGGTGACAAGCATAGCATATAAACGCAAAGTGTGTAAGATACAGCTAAAAAACCTTTATAAATAAGAATAAAAATCATGGAATATGCACTGCGGTATTTAAAGTATTAAAATAGCAAATACAACTCCCGAATTTTCGCAGAGTAAATTAGCCAAAAATAATGCCTTGTCCATTGACATGTATTTAAAGAGGTATATGGACCCCATATATTTTTGTTTGTTGGAATGCCACCAGCTTGTACTTCCATGTTTTAGGCTGTAAAATGTTCTACTTTTATATACCAGTAGGTAATGCATTAGCTGATCGCACTTGCCATTTGACAGCGCCAAATAATGTGCCTTTAGAAAGCAAAAAAACAGCAGCTACGGTAATATTATGAATAAAGCTTAAGTAAAATGACGGAGCCGAGCAAAAATGCGTATGAGCAATATGTGATGATCTCAATTTATACCAATGCTCATGTCCTTAAAAATAAATTCATTTTGCAGGGTCTAAACCACCTTTTATAAATATAAGCTTCGCTTTAGAGCGTCAATAAACACTTTATTCATTGATTGTCCATAGTGTACTCATAAAAGCAACGTCGAATATTTTGGTGCCCGCCTATATTACAAAGTCAGACAATTTGCCGCTTAACACAAGCAAATGATGAAGCCCATTTGGTATTGTCGATACCAAAATACAGGCTAAGCAAACAGCTAAGGTATTTCAGTAATTCTAACAGTTCTGATCACCATTTTTGAACTTCCTTTTGGGCAAAATTGGGAACATGTTGCATTGGCACAGAAGGAGTTTGGTTCGTAACATTATTTCCATTTTCAATGTCAGAGCCACTTTATCAACCAGGATATTTTAAATATTTTTATCATCTTATTTTGTCCAAACCACATCAATTTAATCATAAAGAATACAACAGCAAAGTGGGTTTTAGATTCCACTCGATACAACACACAGTCCTTTCCTTTTGTTGGCTACGTTTTGTTGTTTTGCTAGAAATGCGTAAAAACCTTGTAAACTGTACAGACGATCATGCAATACATAAAACAGCTTCTTAACTTGTTATTTATTTATTTATTTATCTTGACAACGGTAGCAGGCTTTTAAATGATTGGATAGGGGGAATTGGGTCCAACTTCAATTGCGCAAGACGAAATGATGCAAAACAAAAGTTCTTAAAGGGAGGACAGTGAGCCGATTCGTGGATCATTACAAAAGCGCCGCTACTGTAAATCCATGCTTAAAAGCCTCCGTTTTACCCGCAATTCTGTTTCAAGCACAGTACTAAAGAACTCCTTTTCCTTCGTGACGACCAAAGCCGAAGACCTACTGTCATGTTGGTTTGAGGAATGCGCCTGAGAGGCAAAACAACTCGAGAAACGGTCTAAGCCATGCCTTCTTGTGTAGCCAATCATATTTGCTAGTTACATTTTTTAACGAGAGCTAATAAGTTCGCCCGAGTTATCCTTGTTCTGCAAGGTAAAGCACTTCAACCTCAGTCCGTGATCGCTCAACTCTGCCGAAAATATCGAAGCATGCACGCATTACAATGAAAGACCACCTTAACTGACAATTGTAAGCTCAGGCTGCAGGCTGTTTGGACATTAAAAGGAAGTCTTTTACTGGACTAACCAACATAACTTCACTAAAGCAGCAAGGAGGTTCTTTATCAATCAAAAACAGACTGTATTCTCGAAATCTCCAAGTTGCTACTTAATTGAACTGGCAAAAATCGAGACCCGCATGCCAGCGTGCAACTGTGCTCCAGAAAAATGATGGTGGTGGCGGCGGCATGGAAAGTACAGCACTGTTTAAAGACCTTCCGCCGCCAGTGGACGGGTACTATTAAGTCGCAATCCTCTACCCTTTATGGCGGGTCATAAAATGTCTTTTGCAAATAATGCAGAAGTCTTGTGCTCCACAACGGCAAGCGCTGCATCCGTACAATTCTTTGCTGTTCCTGGTTAACGTGACGCCAATCCAAGAGGCAGCGGGCGATAAATCAAGGGCATTGGAAGTCACGTCTTCATTGTGAACAGGTGAGATGCATCGCTTACAATCTTTCCACACACACTCCCTCCCTCCCTCCCTTTAGCATACAAGGTCGGCCTTCTAACAAGTTACTCTTAACCGTTTTTGTTTATTAAAGATTGTAAAATGACCACTTTGAACAAAGTGGGCATAAGGAGGGCCGAAATCGCAAGTTTAAATGGAGGTTCGGGACATGAATTTGCCTTGGCAGCTGGCAAAACCATAAATGGTCGTTTTTAAGTCGACGACTCATTGGTCACAGTCTAACTATTAGCTTAAAATATTAACTCCAAATTATAGGTCCTGATTATAGTGTATATTTTTGAGTTGTTTGAGTGTACCTTGAAGAGAGGAGGCGAGATGTCAGTTCGAAAGACATGGAGAAAGGGAAGACGAATCCCCTTTCGCCTGGACCACAACTAAACAATGCCCTGCCTACCTGTCATGCTCGTTGAAACGTTTCGAAAATGGCAGATCTCTGAAGGGCTTACCAAGGAGGAGGCGGAAGGGGGTGATAAAAAGGTCGCACCAATAATCTGAAGATTTGATTTTGTTTGTGTGTTTTGTGTTTGTTTGATTTTGTGTGATCAGAGGTCCACGAAAGTGTGAGAGAAGGCTTCGCCTCCGCTACAAATGACTTAAGAAGTCTTGGCTCACGCAGAGCTATGGGCAACGAGCAATGGCAATCTAAACAGTCCTTCTCATTTGACCTCACTTAACCTTTTGACCGCATGAGTCAACATGCGTGTCCTCTTGCTCAGAATCCTTGTGCGTGTCTTTTGCCGGATGCTTTAAACTTTTGTGATATGCTACAAGAGAAGCTTGCTTTGAATTGAATGTCGAAAATTTTTAATGTAACGAAAAATAAGTCCGAATATTAAGTTGCTAGAATGCCTAACTTTCAACTCGGCAATAAGCGTCCCAGGAAGGCTATCGATAAAGAAGGAGAAAGCAATTTAATGTACACATACTAGAAGGTTAAAGTTGGAGGTAAGAAAGAAGCCTCACCAAAATACTTGATTGTTTCACCTGACTGAGGGCGATAGTAAGCATCGACCAATCCACTGGTTCACGTCCATTGGCTCTCGAGGCACACACATGCACGCACATACACATGCCCCGAGCGCTGCCACATCCCACGGAAAGCACCAAGTTCAGTTACCCACGGAGAAGCAGTCAGACCAGATGGCTAGTCAACTTTTGACCATGAAACTTGTCCGCGAGGACAGCTCTGTGCCCTGGGGCTTTCGTCTGGAGGGCGGGGTGGATGTGGGCCTTCCGCTGAACATAAAAAGCGTTGCACGTGGTGGATTAGCCGAGCGCTGTGGTCTTCGAGGGGGAGACTATGTCCTTCGCATCAACCGAACTGATATGCGGGGCCTAACTCATGAACAGGCGAAGATGGAGATTATCCGTTCCAGCAATGACTTTGTGATAATGGTTCAGCGTGGAGGGGCAATTTCACCAATTCGAACCACTACCACTACAACCACAATTCAGCCCATGACAGCGCGTGTAGAAGAGTCGGTTATCCGCGGGGTTATGGACAACGGACAAGCAAATTTAAAAAGTGCTTTTGCAGCGCCTTATTCGCCACCAATTGGAGCTTCGCATAACGTGAATCCAGTGCCATTCGGACAGGCACCTTTGCCTGGTCATTCGGTGATAACTCGAAACGCAGAGGGCAGAACACATCGTATCCTTCACTCCGAATACAATTCACCCATGGGACTCTATTCCCAACGCAACGCCTCAGCATCTTTTGAGAACGCTTTATCAGCCGCTGGAACTTCATCACCCGCTAATGTAACGCCGAAACTCATCTGCGATGCCTGCAGAGGTCCCATTGCTGGAGTTATGGTCAAAGTGCATGGTTCAATTCCCATGCATCCTGAGTGCTTAAAGTGTTCGCAGTGTGGAATTAACCTCCGTAATGTGGGTTACTTTTACATAAATGGTGTGCTCTACTGCGAAACGCACGCAAGAAGGGCCGCTCCACCACCAAGACAAGGACTACAAGCCGGAGTGATGTATAAGTGAACTTCATGTCCGCTTTGCGCCATCAGTCTACGACTCAATTTTTTGCAATACTTAACGCAAATCGTCCTTGTGGATAATCTAGACCTTTGCGTGTCCGTGTGCATCAAGCCAGCGGCTCATTACTAGAAAAGTACTTCAGTATTTATTTAGTCTCATGTTTATTTAAGTAGAAATGTGACTTTGTGACAACTTCGTTCTTTTCTTTTTGATCAAGTGGATCAGGGTATTCCATTATTCAGCAACTAAAGAAGGACAAAATATGCTAGCTTCTTTCCGTTACGCTAGCATGTTAACTGAGAACTTTCATGGAATATAAGCTTTGTATTAGCATGGTAAGCACACATCAGTTGCAGGGTTACTCACAACTGCATACAAATTTCCTCAAGGACAAAACTTTAAATGTTCGATGTATTTTAAGTACTAGTTGTCATTGTTTATAGCCACAAAAGTGGTAATTTTATCGTTGCAGGTTTAAAAAACGCTAACATAAACAAAACATTTTAATGTTGGCAATTCTAACAGTCTTTGGATGAACGTAAACGATTCAATGTTGTCAGGTCTGCAGGCTTAATTTGTCTGCAAGAATAATTTAGTAGCTTATAAAGGCAAAATTATGCCTTTTAGCATAGTTTTATTCGATGAAATAACATTGGAATAATTTCAGGAATGCCTATTTTCAAGAAAGGCAATTGGAACCTTAAAGCGATAAGTGAGCTAGGATTGCTCTCCGACTTTACCCCTTACTGACTTCCGATTGAAGTCTGTTAGTTTGGTCACCCCAATTTAATCCTGCCACTCGCTGCATACTACCTTAAGAAGCCTCACTTCGACCACTTCATCAAAATTATGAACCTCACCACCCCACTATCGATTTGACGTTAAATTTCAGTTTCCACTCCTCAAAAAATGTCTCCCATATTTTGGGTAATTTTAAGAAACAACTTGTGCTAATTATCTAGCAACCCGCAGTAAAGCAGTGAACAACAAAGTTTCGCCACGTTATCCTTCCTTGACCTTCTTCAAAATTTTCTAGTATGCCGGAATTCTGTGTGAAGCTCGTATATTAAGGCGTGATTAAAATGTAGCTTTGACATAGGACTTAAACCAACAATATGGGATCTTCCTTAGAGAATTAGGGCTATAGGCTATGAGAAAGCCAATCTTTATGGTAAACTAAATATATTTTCTGGCAATACATTGTCTTACCATGGTAATTAAGTTCCTTCCGTGCCTAGCGGACCAGAAGGCAGTCATTGTGCTGTTAGTAGTTTCGCATTTCACTCTAATCCTGTCAACAGCAAATAATGGCAATCGTGCGCAAATTGGGCAAATGGGCATAATCTCCCGACTCCTTCTTAAATGCGGCAACTTCTGCTTTTTTACTGAATTGTGTACAGATATTCCTTCACTGCACACCAACTTAACGAGTTATATGTGTAGGTAGTTAGTTAGTCAAATCGACAAAAAATACATGAAAATATATGTTTATTTTACCCAACTGTTTCTACGCTGGCATAAAAGGTATGCGGTCTTAAAACTTGCGCATGCGTTTCGAGTACGGCCCGAATGCCTCCGTCATGTTGGGACCTTTTTTATGTGAAAGCTAAAATTTGAAAAACAAACTTCTAATAATGCGCTGATCTAGCAATTATTTATCCAGCTGGAGGTAATGGCTCTTCCTTGCAGTAATACCATGAACAACGAAAAAGTCCGGCTTACGACGACATCTCTCCACCATTTTCCTTTTCATTTGGTTCATCTTCTAGGGACCATTAACAGGCTTGGAATATAATAGCAGACTTCAATGCAATTATTTATCGTTCATGCGTTCGCAAGATTCGCCGTGGTGGTAAGAAGTTAAAAGTTAAACTCTCAAAAAGAGTAATCTCTGCATGAGCTTAAAGAAGGTGTGCTAAATCGTATCCGGTATTTTTTCTCCTAAGTGTATGCACTAGAGAACATCCCTGTTATAATTGAGGTAAAACGTCATAGAATGAAGTTATTAAACTTTGTTTGATAAGCCACTGGCTAACTGGTGAGTTTAAAACTTTCAACTTTGCATTGTCAAAAGGCGAATTGGATGTCAGCGTCTTAAGGCCGACGATGACAACTTAGAGAAGTTTAGTAAAACAGCCAATCAGTGCATATAAATTAGGCAAAACGAATAAAATCACCATCTACAGTTCATCTTGTGAAAATTTACTTCCACTTTATAATTAATTGGTTAACAATGTTGGTAATAAATAATATCTACAATAACTTCGGAGTCTATTTAATCTGCGAAAACAAGCTATGCTTTTAATGTTGAATGGTAGCGTAATATTATGCCATACTCTATCGTTTGATTTCTGTAAACCTAAGGGTCCTCGAGAATTTCAAATCCTATGGAAAGCGTCAAGTGATCCACACGCTAATCACTATTTTCACATCGCTTTAGTTTTGCAGACCTACAACACTTTTGACATTTTGGCCACTATAGTGGCAACATGATTTCTATGCGAAATCGTTGGGTAAGAATAGTTATATTTGGCGATGATTGATAACAATTAGACAGGAATTGGTGGTGGCTATATCGCGCCTAGAAGCAAACTACCCTCATAAAAGATGAAAATTCTTAGCAAGACTGCCCTTTTTAGTACAATTGACTATTTTGCTGAAATACACTGCTGTTTCTTTAAATAAAAACTAACCTTTATTCGAGTTCTTTACTAAATTATCGAAAATAGCTTGCTTAATACATGTCATAAGTGTCGATAAAAGTTTCATTTATTTAAGGAATCCCAAATTGACATTTTCCTTTGTCAGAACTACTAGGCAAATTATTTTCTTAGCTTACTCCAAAGTTCTGACTACGGCGTCCAGAGACTGTCCATGACTTAATGGGAGGCATGAAATTTGCCATGCACAGAAGGGGAAGAGGTGAGGCTACTGGCATGGCTCGAAGTCCAGCCCATTTGGCAGAAGTAGTGTAGCCATCAAAGTATTTATCACCCATTCGGCGAGTGCAACGAACAAAGTGAAACACTACCTTTGACAAAGGTATTTCAATAATACCATGGGGTAATTACAACGTTTATAAACTTGCAGGATGGCCTAATGCGCTTATGTTTGCAAGTCATTAATCTCTATGTCTGCTGTCCTTGCACTCACTTTCCATTCCCGAAACAAAAGTACATAAGAAACTGCAAAAGTGAATTTTACAATTCTAACAAATCAGGATTTGAGCCTGAACATCTCTTTTGCTTTTTTGTCCCCCTTGCAATTCGCATACATGGGCCAGAAGTTGGCGTTATCGACGATGGGGGCATAAATAGTAATTACGGAGGGTGCATGTGCCGACAAACGTGGCAAGGGAGGGAAGAAAGTGGGTGATCACATGCAGCGCACATTCCTGTACAGGCAAAAGAATGGGCTCAGAAGGTGTGCCTCAGGGCTTTACAAAGGTGGGCAAAGGGGGTTGGACTTTTACATTTTTTGGTAGAGAATTTTATATGAAGTCAAATCCCCCAGTAACATGTGTGTGCTGGAGGAGTCAGTTGGAGCATTTGTTTTTGTGCCTTTAACGGTCGACATCTATTGCAATGCAATGCTTGTCTGGTCGTTGCGAGAGTGCGGTAGTGGTGGCGAGTCTGTAAGCAAAAGTTATTTAAAAGGGGACTAAGAATGCTAACTCACTGCTAGGATTGAGACCGTTTGAGATGGAAATTGCCTACCAACTAGCTAAAGTCATTTTCAATTTAAGACAGACCGTCTTTAAGGCTTAAAGCAATGTGTAAAAAAAAGCATTGAAATATCTGATGCAGCAGATTGGGTTTGAGGTGGGGCAAAAGCAGTCCGATTTGAACAGTAATTTAATTGCCAAATCACTATTTCGCCTTCCGTCGGAGCCGGCACAGTTAAAAGTGATGCGAATTGAGTTGCTCCTTTGGCAACTTTTGTTGTAATATTTTACGCTTGTTTTTGGGCTGAAACAAAGTCAAGTCGGCTCTCACCGGTATCGCACAATTCTTCACATCATGGTCCTTCGGTAGTCGAGATGGTGTACAGCATCCAACTCTTCTTCCCCTCCTTTGCCTCAATGAGATGCACGATTCTTCCAGTTAGCAGCGCTGAGACTGAAAAACAGTCGTTGGCAAATTTTACCTCCACCGCAGTGTACCTTTTAGGGGGTTCTCAACATTGACCTTTGCAGGCGACGACTTGTTTAACAACGAATTGCGAGGGGGGTGTTCCAACACTGCGTGGAGTCTTGTGCAAAGTGGAGGCATTTCACCAACCCAGCTTACTGCAGTGCAAGTCAAATGCTGTTCAAGGAAGAGGTAAAAAACTGTTTTTTTGAACAAACACAATTTTTTACCACTTCCCTATATGTCTTAACAATCATAATTGACCCGAAATAGCACTTTTTGCATTCACATCCGTGGTGGAAGGAAGGTGCACCGCTTTTGTGAACAAAGTAGCCGCGGGGCTTGCGTCAGTGGCTGCCGCCCATTAGCCCGTCTGGTGGAGACCTGCAACCGCTCTTCGGCTCCCCTTCAGTCCCAAGGCACAGCCACGCGGCGCCTCACAAATGGCACACTTCCCTGCATAAAGGTGGCATATTTTAAGGGCTTAAAGAAGTCAAATGCACCACTGTCCAGAGGGTTGACAATCCGTCTCTCCTATTTATGCAGTATTTTGCTGACAGATTCATTGTCATATCTGCTTGATGGCAATGCCATCCACGAGACCTTTGGCTCTGACATCTTCACATCCACACACACACACGGATGCTTTTGGAGTGGAAGAAAAAAATTAAACAAAAAGAACGTTTACAAACTAAGTTTAGCACAGTGGGGAAGTTAAATCAAGGTGATGCTGTGACACGTCGTAGTGGAGGCAAATGCTTCTTTTGGTTCCTCTTCCTGCAGCTCTGCAGTGCGGAGAAATGGCAAATTTCAGGCAAGTGTACTGCAACCACATGGAGGTGCTATGCGACCTCATTTGTTTAAAGATTGTCAGTTTTGATAAAGAGCCACTTAGGGGCTCCGTTACTTCCCATTTGCCATGTTACCAGCCTCCTTCAGTCCATCTCCAAAGAGGGAATGTATGTTTGCTCTCATGGTTATTTTCTTTGGCTTCCAGGAGGGCTGCTGAAAGGGTGCCGTCGGTGTCTTCGTGTGACACCTGCCCTAGGCCTCTGTTCTACGCGATCACCTTAAACAGGACCGTTTTGGAGCAGACTACGAGACCTACGTAAAAACAACAGTTTGACACGCACATATTTTTTCCTTCCACCTCGCTGCTAAGCAAAAGGTTCTCCTGAATGGTAACAAAACTGCAAGTCCAGTGAAGAAAATGGTGACACGAGAATCAAATAACTTCGCGATGCCTGTCATTGTTGGCCGTCCTTACAGCACTGAGGGCGTTTGGCGATCGACACGAAAGCACCAAAGGCGAGAACCAAGTGGAAAGCAGAAAGGCAATATTTTAATAGTTCCGTTTTTATACTTTGAATTCGGTTTTTATGAGTAGTTTGGCTGAAACGGTCACCACCACCACCACTTCAGTGACGCATCTTCCATCACCATTGAGGGTTTCTTCGCATTGAGGAAGGTCTCAAGGCAGCGCACGAATTCTTGACACCACCGCAAATACCTTCTAAAAATGCAAATATGGACTGTAGTCCAACGGGATGTCAACAGGTGCTCGAAGGAATGCTGCCATGCCAAAGGGAAGTGCAGACTGATGCAATGGTGGTCTGCTAGGACTACTCCAGCGCCTATCAAATGCAAGTCCGAAACTACTATTTACCGTGGTACCTTTTAATTGACCAGTTTTTTAACTAATTGCCCCTCGTCTTTCAGTCCACACAATGTGATTACTCTTGCATCATTGCTCATCTTTACCAATGTCCCATTTTTTGATGATGTTGATATTTGTGAGCAGTTTGAACTCACACGACTTAATGTACACTCAAATGGTTGACGGATTGAGGTCGTTACTTCATTTGGCTTCATTTTAAGTGTTTTATCCAGGGGGGAGGACGAGGAAGAAGAAGAAGAACCCATATTGGGATTTCTCAGCACTCCGTTATTTGTCACTATCTCTTGAAATGTTACCCCGTACATCTCTTCCTCTCATCCAAGAAGTGATGATGATGATGATTATGATGATGATGATTGAACCTGTTTTGCTCCATTTGACACCGTCGTTACTTCGTTTATATAGTTGTACTTTTAATTGTGCAATAACTGTAAGTAAATAACAGATTTCCCTCAAAATAATCTTAGTGTCCAATGTGTCGCAGTTAGAAAATAAGCATAAGTTGTACTTTTCTTTCAAAATTTGGGGTATTTTTAGTTGAAATTAGGAAAAGACCTGTGACCGTGTTTTCACTTTTGGTCAAATCAGGTCTTTCACCATCAGGATGGTATACACTGGCAAGCCGAGTGGTTCTCGAAGGCATACAAAGAAAGGAAGTCCGTTGTCAGGAGACAGAAGGGCAACAGAAATGCCCCAAAGGGCATGCCACCCTCAAGAAGCCCTAAAGGTGTGTTAAAAGATTAACAAAAACAAGTCAAAACGAAATAACTACCTTTACGTTCTTTGACTGGAAATATCGTGCACTGATAAGACCAAAACGCAAATGCCTAAATTTATCAAATACCATTATTTTAGAGAACCACTTTTCCATTGGAAACCCTCATGATGAGTTCGCCATGCTGATGGCCACAGTAAAACGTCGCTTGCTTAAATTGTCATTATTGAGTGAGAGGCGGGAACTCAAATTGAATGCGGTGCTGAAGTCGGGTTTGGATGATCTGCTGGGACCACGGTGACTGCACTCCTACTCGCTTTTCGGTCTTATTAGACCCTGTAAAACTAGCTGAAAGCCAAGTAAAGTTATGTAGAGACTATTTAATCTTAAAGAACGCTAGGAAAGGAGTCTTAGGCCAAGAACAGCTACTACAACCACCACCACCACCACCACCACCACCACCACCACAATCTCAATGTGATAGCACTTTTTGCTATCAACCAGAAGTTTACTATTTGTGTTAGGCTCTCTTGTGTTAGTTGGGAAGATGGTTCGGTACTTTCACAAGGTGTCACAAACTGGCAGCCGTCCCCACATAGTTATTGGATTAAGCAAAGCTCCTTTAGTCATACAGATGAGACGGAAGAAGCGTATGATCCGATTAGATGTTATTTTATTTTGCATCAAATCCCGTACAGTCTCACCCATTTATATAAGCGTTTTGCTCTTAAGAAGGCCTTTACACTCTAGCCGGTAACAATACAGCAACAATGATGGCAAGTTTATCATGAAACGGAGGTTTCTTGAAGTGAGGCTGAGTGGAAGGGACTGAAGGAGCAACAGGTGTAACTGGAGAGTACAGAGGTTTCAGTCTACCTGTTCCCGTGTTTGTGCGTGCATATGAGAGAGTGCAGTAGTAGAGCGCCTCCTTCTCAAGTCTGGAATGTCTGGGTGGAGTAGAGAATCAGATGTGCTGACATCCGACGGCAAAGTAGAGGGAGGAAGTGTTATAGGAGGTACACAACATGCAGACGACATGCAAGGCTAAAGGGCGGAAGAATGGAGAAGGAGGTGAAAAGTGCGAGAGTGAAATGAAAACAGGGGATAAGAACAGGCGGATGGACGGAGAGGGGAAGATGTCAAGAGGTCAACTGAGGTAGATGTCTATTTTCCCCTATGGCACCGGTGCAGAAAGGCAAAGCAGAAGTCAGAAGACGGCGGCTTTCAACAGTGGTGGGAGTGGAGACAATGGTTGCAATGTTAGCGCAGTGGATATCCTCTCGCCATGGAAACGTCGCGGGTGTGTTAATGTAGCAATTAGGGTGACCAAGAGGTGTGCAAACACGAGAGAGGCTCTCGGGACTTCGATCCGAAGGAGCATAGCAATTTAATGGAATTGGTTCTAAAGCCTTAAAATCGAAAAATGACTTGTCCTTAGTTTTATTCATCTTACTAGGTTTTGGAGACGGTTAATCGGTAATTCCATTATCGGCATTGAGCATTTGTAGCAGGCTCTGCAAGATTAATTTGACACGCTACTTACAAATGCTAAGTAGCATATGGTTACGAAAGAACTGTAGCCTGTCATATTCCTTAAATGTTATTCGATACACTAGCTGTTTTCAAATAAGATTAAAATCTGTTAAATTAGATTATTTTATATCTTCCCAGGGTCAAACTGTACCCATAATCATCTGCTTTTGTTGGTAGAGGCATTCTACTATTTTATGTAAATAACTGCAGGAGTCAATGCAAACAGTCAACAAAATGCCTTTCTTCAGACAGAGAGCTTTGTAAAACCGAAGTCGCTTATGGAGATATTTTTATGGTTGCATTGGCAAATGCTAACAAACACATATATCAACCTATTAAAGTGAGCAACACTTATTCATATCCCTTTCGTCCTTTATTCTTTCCACTTTTCAAGCATGTATGCATAATTCTAGCATTTTACAAGTGCCAGATGCGATTTTTGGTTGGTACGAGAAATGGAAGCAGTATTGATCGAATCGTTGAATGTTAAAGCAGATTTTGGGGGCCTGCATGGAGTCTGCGAGGCTTTACATTAGCGTTAATGAGGAGCTTATTTAGCTGCTTAAAGTTAGTATGCTGTCGACTTTTCGGGGAAAAATAGTAAGGTCTTGCAAGTGAAGGCTCTAATCGTAAGCTGCACTCTCTGTACCACTGCTTATTATACAACCATCAATAATTCTTTAGCAAAATATGTTGCTACTAAGGCATTTTCAGTAGGGAATAGCCAGCACTTTAGATAGTGCGATTTAGCGGCTCGAAGAGGAACTTCTGTGCAGGCTTACGAAACATTTTGTTTCGTCTTTGATCTCTTTAACTGGATACGAAATTTCCTCAAGTTGTTTTGCCTTGACTCTGAAACTTGGGGTAAATAAGCTATAGTTCAGCAGTAGCGCTCAGTGGATGTCCACGTACTTCTACTACCTAATCATAAAATTGTGACTATCAGCACTGTAGTACACATAACTGCATAAAGTATGAAATTCGTTACTTCTTACCGGAGTTTTAGTGACTCTTGATAGGGTTCTTGGGGAGGATGACTGGCTGAAATTAAATTTGGATGCAGGATAAGTAAATTAAAAAGTAAAAGGCGATGTGTTTCCGATACACCTTTTGGAGAAAAATAAAGTTGAACCTGTAGTTTAGGCAAGTCAACTTTGTAAGAATCAACGATTCGCAAGGCAAATAGTGTCATAAAAAAACAACTTACTTTTTTCTTTTTACAAACAAACAAATGACTACAAGGAGGAGGAGTAAGAAGAGAGCCCCGAGAGTAGAAAATAGAACGAGACGCCCAACGAAATTATCACAGTCTGTGAATAAACAGAGACTTCGTTCATTTCACTTCTATCGGAAGGCATTAGGTAGAAGTGTCAGCATTCAAACCTACTGGTAGTGCATTCAGGTTGAATGGCTTTTGTTTCCTCTGGTACCTTCTCGACAAATTCACATCTTGTTCCATAGTATTGGGAGATACAGCTAGGGAAGAAGAAAGTAGTACGTTAGGCATCCACAAGGCGACTGGACTTTGGAAGCGCTTGGAAGGGTGCAGCATGTGCAAGCATGCGAACTGCTGTGATGCCAACTTGGGCAGGAATCATTTAGCAGTAGCAACGGTTACCTCACAACGTCGACCCACATATCCACGTCTGCATCTAAACAGAAACTCGGCTCTTTAGGACATCGTAAAAGGCCAGTGTTCATCACCTCATTACATTCATTTGAAAGCTTCCATCGAGAGGACCGTCAGCCCAACGACTTAACAAACGCCATACAGTTTCACAATTCCGGTGGTCCGCCTTCGACACTAGGCTGAAGATCCGACTGAAAATGCCCTAGAAGCTCTTTAAGGCAATCGTAGTGATGGTTCCTGCCTTTTAGCCACCCTTTTTACACAAGACTGCATTGAATTGGTACCAAATTACCGTATACGATGGAAAGAAGGCTACGAATGGCTTTTTGACACATTTATACCACAAATTAGCCATTGTCAGTACTGACGGCCAGCTTTTTTCGGTGCCTAATTTGTCTCGACTACTGCGCAGATCTGATTTAGTCAAATTTTAAGGTCGAAGGAGGTTAATGCTTTAGTGAGCGAATGGAGAGCAAATTTTCACCGACAGATTGTGTCGGTTCTTACCTGCACGAAGGTCTGCCGTCGATGAGATTGCAGTATCCATGAAGGCAGTAGCGATAGCACGGATGAACTACGAAAGTTAAGGGGAAAAGAAAGGAAGAGAAGTAAATCCCTGTCGCAAAGTCAAAAAAACCTTAAGTATGCTGGATGCTCTAGTCGAGTCACAGACTGTTGACATTACTGACTGGCTGCACTAACGTCACAGCTTCCCATAGGAGGAAAGCCGGCCGTCAACGTATTTTAGAAATGATGTACCTCCTGAAGTAGACGAAAAGAAGCGATTCTCTTTACACTCGGATCTGTCCTGAGGTTAATTTTTTTCTGACTCAAAACTAAACTTATGCCTGTGTCACAAATCAGAGCAACTGATTATCATAAGCCGATGTGGAAAACACAGGCGACTCCAGTGATGAACACGTTAATGACTGCAGATAAGGAATAAGCAGACTCCTCTTTCTTTAAGCAAAAACAAGATCTGATCTACTGTACAGAGTTTTCCAAATTGCCATAAATTGGGCAACTTGCAAAAGGCTAGACAAGTGAACGTGTTTTATGCCGACAGTGGGCACACAGACCAGGTTTGTAGGGGAGGGAGGAGGAGGGGGAGGTCGGGCCGGGGGGGATAAAAGCAGTGCGGAGCTACAGGGCCTACCTGTGAGAGGCGGCAATGTTGTCCAGGGTTGTGGAGTTGTTTGTGGTCGCGGAACAACTGAAAGGGAGGAACATACTGACAATGGCCATTCACTTTATATTCAAGGCGAAAGAAATGAATCGTACCCCCGTGAAGTATGGATCATGTAAAGCATTTTCCATCCTTTCGTACAGCATGATTCCCCAGGCATTGTAATTGGAACTTGCCTCATTTTATGGGTGAAAAGGCGTCTAACGATCAAAGCTAGCCTTCAAAGTTGCACACAAGAATGCACGTTTCGGTGAGTGCCGTTTGTTGAGTTGAGAGCTCCAAACCCTAATTGCTTTGCATTTGTTATTAACACAACTGTTCCTAAGTCTTGGAATTGAGCTTTTAGGAAGCACAATCTTTTTGGTGCAGTACAAAAAGGGTAGAAGTTGAGCAGGCGAAGGGCAGCACTCCTTTGCCTTCTAGGAAATAGTTTATGGCCGAACTGCTTCCCACTGTCCCACATAAGGATGTACTTGGGGTGGACTACATGTAGGGACCCACCACCGCCACCACCTTACCATATATCTCCACTGTCTTTTTGATATATCCATTAACATTTTCCGCCAGGCAGGAGTAATTCCCCGAGTCTATGGGCTGGGTGTTGGAGATTTGCAGGCGCGATTTCCGTCTGTAAAAAGTAATATGAAGGAGGAAACAATAAAGGTTTCAGTAACTATGGCATGCGAAAAATTGTTGAAACGACAATGAACCTACCATTGTTTATTTAAAGCGCCAAATCACTCTACCAAACAATTTAGATGAAGCCAATTAAGGAGAAAAGCAACTATATTTATTACGCATCGAACTGAAGGGTCTTTTTGGCATTAAGACAGCATAGAAAACAAGTTCGGTTCGTAGAAACAGCTCGTTTTGAATGATACTAATTTAAGTACTGATACTTAATGGCAAATGAAAGTTTTACTAAACATAATTGTTTTAGCGCACTACACACAAATCTGCTCATTTCGAATTCTGCCTCAACTTAAATACAACCCCTTGTTGAATCAATTTTGCGAAACTTTAGCAAAGATTACCTTGTAAGACATTAGTCCAAATGACACAATTTCGGTTTTAATTTAAACTATTAATAAAGACTCCTTAAAATTATCTAAAGTGGGTAGAGCTCTCTGCAAGCGTGGCTCTGGCCTCAACTGTTGATTAGAAAAGTTTGGTGACAGTTAGCTGATTGGTTTGGTAGCTTGTTTAAGTCTTGGCCTCAGAGTGGCGAACGTATAAAAGTACATCTTTGCCCATTCGGAGAGCGGCGTGGCTCCTAATCCCCTCCAGTAGTCTCCGCGTCTTCCATGCCTTTGATAATATGCGTTCTTGTCTTGTCCGGTATAGAGTCGTTTGGACATTTTTGATGACCAGTGCCGCATTACGCAGCGCAAATTCAAGTACTTGGCATAATGGAAATTTTAATGCTAGATTCTTGCCTACCGTGGCAATCACAGTGCATCCAAATTATGTAGCAATGATTTTGTTAAATGTATAAAATCTTGATGCTAAATAAGAGGTTAGTATGCAAGAATATTTCACATCCAAGCTTATAAAATCGAATGATGAGTAACTCTCCCAACACAATTTCTTGCCATTTGACAGGTGACACTGCAGCATCAAACTTCTCATGCTGTAGAGATTAGTTTAGTTTGAAAGAACTTGGAGAGAAGGTGAAGTTGACCTAGGGGATGGGAATGGAGGGAGTGATATTAGCTGCGCAACACACAGGACAGAATTGCGCATGTGAAAACGAGGTCGAGGCACAAATCCCACTTGGGCGCTCGAGAAGAAGCCGCACGAGGTTGAAATCTTTCCCTTACTGTGCAACTTCGTCCTCGGTTTTCTCGACCACATCATGTGCTGGCGTAGTTGCCTAGGGTTGCCAGGCCATCATAAATCTCGAGCTATTTAACCTATTTATGACCGTAGCATTCTTAAATGGGAGACCTCTTAAGTAGTTGGAAAGCTAAGGGTGTGGTTAACGTAAGGATATACGAAATAACTTTTATCGAGACTGCTATTCCATTGGAGAGAATCATAAAATAAGTGATCAAGAATTGTTAAGACCACCGACTATTACGGCAGAATTGGTTTTCGTGCTCCTCAAATTGCCCTATTACTGGCGCCAAGTTTTGATGACAGAATGGAGACAATGAATGCTTGTTCTACTTGATTTGCCCAAATGTTTCGTAATTTCGGAAACAAAAAAGCGACTCTACACTTAAATGACACTTCAACCTTCGCCGACAGCATTATCAAGCTGACAGGTCGGCTCAGCTATTTTGAGTGTGCATGTGGTCAAAATTTAATACTCAGTGGTTGATTGGACGGCTATCAAAAACGGTTATTAATTTAGCGCTCTGATGGATGATGGAGGGTTCTGAGGGGACGCCTTATTTGTTCATTTGTTTGACTTAAGAAAACAGCCTAGTCCACCTTTGTTTCAACAGAATCGCTCTTTTGTACCAACTTTCTTCCCTCAATGAACTTTAGAAGCCTCTGAAAGTGTAAAAATACACCTAAAAGGCGGCAAAAGCCTTTTAGAAACTTTAAAGAAGTTGCTCACTAATTTTTGCAAAAATTGGAGTGGGTCGTACACGTATTACCAATCTATTTTAGTCAGGTGTTTTCAAGCGAACGTTAAACCCATAACTAAAAATCCAAACAGCATGACGCTCCAAAAAAAGCACATTGAAGAAATTTTTGAACAGAACGTAAAGATGTTTGAAGAAACCAAACGCATTTTATTCCCTCATGCTCAGCAAAAGGCAATTGGTTATGAGGTTCTGCATAACTTGCAATATATTACCTTGGGAATCGAACTACAGGTGAATTTAACTATCGCATCTGGTTAAACGACATTTAGTCTGTCTTCCGAAATCTGTATTAGGTTAGAAGTGGTACGTCTTTATCAGTTGACGCAACGGACAGGCTGAAAGGTTGAAAGGATGAGGGTGAACTGGAGAAATGGCTCACTTGTTTTTATGAATGACACCACGACCAGTAGCCACGTTCCATAGACCGAGTTGTTGGGTGTTGTTGACATACCAGGAGATGAGAGGGGCGGGTCGACCCATCACTACGCAGGAAAGCACTACCTCCTGGCCTTGTTGCACTTTCAAACTCTCCTGATGGTGCAGTGAACGCATCTGTAGTGGGGACGCTGAAATCATATAAGTAGGCAATCGTTTGATGTATTGCATATTCAAAAGTTGGCATTTGTAATTAGAAGTTTCCACTCTGCTCCACCTGTACGTTATGATATACGTTAAGATGTAATTCTGTAAAGGAAAAAATGAAATCAAGTAGGAATTCAAAGTTGAAATTTGAGGTGAACTTATCGTTCGCAAGCAAAATTGCCCGGCGAGGCTATTTCTTTCAGTCAAGCCTAAGTAAAATATGCATTTCTTTCGTTTAAGCCAAGAATGAAACTATTATCAGGTTGACGGCTAAGTGAAGCGATACATAACGCATGATATGATCCGGGAATCCGGGTGTTGATGGATGAACTTTAAGTGCGCATATTTGTGCTACCCGAAATGGTAAACTATTTTTTGATAGCAATGCTCATCCTGAAAGATCGGTAGTTTTTGACAGGCAAATGCAGAATAGAAGTAGCTTTTTGAAATCCAGTACAAACACGATTAAAAATAGACATGGTTTATGTGGGAAGATTGACTTTTCTTCCAACTTCATTATGCACCTTCTAGTCATTAATTCTGAAAAACAGTGAGCCAGATTTGGAAATCCGAACCAGAATGAAATCGACTCTGAATTAATAATACTTCCGAGAGAAATGCATGAATGGTGCGAAAGTGAAACATTTAGGTGACATCGAAAAGTCCACTAGAGAGGTCTCTGCGAGTGCAGATAAGTTCGAGGGAAGGCCGAATCGGAGCCGTTGCCTTGACACCTGTGTCTAGCCGCCGTTCATAACTTTTGCTGACGGTGTGGCGTTGTAAGTACGGTGCCAAAATAATTTAAGTTGACAATATGGCCTGGAAAGGTCGAATGATGCATAAGGCTTTTGAAGTAGTGGTAGCAGTAGAGACATGCAGCACTATCACTGAATAAGTTGGATGAGTTTTAGCACATTGAATGTGGATTTGTTGTTATTAATAACTTTGCTAAACCACATCCTTTAAGCATGGCGTAAATAAGTAGCGGTGAAGGAAGGGGAGGGAGAAAACACTTCGCTACAACCCAGTCATCAACATTTTTTGCATTATCAGTGCCTACCTCGCCCGAAATCGGCACAGGTACTTGTAATGCTGATTACTGTCCAAAATACCACTCTTTACATTAATACACTAGAGGATCATGGATTCCTGCCTTGGCAGCATGAAAGAATGACATTTGAAAGTGCGGTTACTGGTGCCGGAATTTCGGAGTGTGTTTTGACTTCTGACCGGCAGCAGGTGTCTGCAAAGACGTGTGTGTCACCATTCGCCCTCAGTCGAAGGAAAGGACACAGCAGTGGAGCAGAAGGAGGGAAAAGGAGCTTCAAAGTTCGCTCAAAGTAGGCCACGAAAGTGTTACTTCACTTGGCACTCAAATTCCACTGAAGTTAGGGCAACAACTTTTTTAGGATTAATAAACTTGTACACATAACCACCTTCTCATGCTCGAGAGCTTATCCATTTAAAATAATCTGAGTCTCGAAGGTCCCTTTTGAAGAATTTCCTTGGCGAAGACAGTGATAAATCAGGTAGTTCGACATAGCTTATTCATGTGCTGATTTTGACGACAGGACTGCAATTTCCTCCTTGATGGCGGTCAAAAGTTGGGGCGTTATAGCTCTGTCTTTCAAAGTTGGAGAAAAAAAACCTATTTTCTACTAATATAAACAAATTGAATTGCTGGTATGCAAATGATGGCATGGAAGGAAGGAATCACTGTTCGCTACAATGACATCAAATTTATAAATCGTAATCGGAGGAAAGCTAGCCCATTCCTGAAAAGAAGATGCATTTGTGGAAGGCTGTTGCTTCACACCGAGCCTAATGTCGGCAGAGTAAATGGCTAATCGCGTCCTGCTGTCACCACAGTTCTGCCACCTTCGGACAGTGTGTTCTACTGGACGGGATTTGGGCACTGACGGCAGCTTTAGACACGAGGTCTTCAGCACCTGGCAGCAGGTGACAGAATGGAATCTTTTATCTCTCCTTGTTATACAGACTGCGGTGCTTGATTGAGGGAAAGCCTACTTGAAGGCCATCTCGGAAAGATAAGTTATGCCTCGAAAACTTAGTCATGAGATGGTCACGACATCTGAGCTGGTGGTGGACTCTGTTTGAGGCTCCAAATATGGAAAAAAATGTACATACAATTAAGTTAGAAGTATTTATGCATCAAACAAGTAGAACAACTCTGGAAATCGGGATTGAAGGCTAGAAATGGATCGTGTCCATTCATCTTGCAAATAAACTCAGTCCACTGAGTTTATTTGCCTCAGACACCAAATGCATACCACAAACACGCAATCCCTTTTAGTCTGCCTTTTCAAGTTCTACTTGAATAGATTATAATGGAGCACTTCAATCGAAATTCAAAATAATATGACATTGGGAGTAAAGGAAGGGCATAAGTCAATCTTACAAAGGGTTATAGTGAACCGCGTTATCCGCACGTCCACCTCGTTGGGATCAACAGTCGTCTCATTCATCTGCACCGCGTCCATGTCCCAAATCTAACAAAGGTGATTCGACCACTCCTGATCCCGTAAATGTGAAGTGAGTGTTCTTGAGACCCTAATCTTAAAAGCACATCTCTCGCCTCTCCTCTTCCGCCTCGATGTGCAACCAATGAAGCTGTAAGAGGAGGGGGTGAAGACAAGAGGGAGGGTAATGGGGCTCCCCCCTCATTACCACCTCTCCTCTATTCCCCATGGACACGAAGCAAATAGCATGACTTGCTCCTTCTTCTCGCAACCTTTTTTTGCTCTAATGCGTCGAAAAAGGCAAAACGGAGTGGTCCACTCTGTAGGCAAATAGGGCATACATGACAGGGGACTAATGTACACTCTCTTCCGCTCTTCTCCGAAATGAAGGTGTCTACTGTTAGCGTTAATCCGACTATTGCATCAGGGAAATCAAACAGAAAAATTAACCTTTTTTTCCCCCCAACATTGCCTGGCGCATTTGTAACTTTAAATGAGAATAAACGAGGTACTAAACTAAGGGGAACGCTGTTCCTGTGTGAGTTAAAAAGGAAATTCCTCTGCCTGAATGCTTTTTACCTACATCTGACATAAATGGAACAAATTGTTTTGGGCAGCAAAGTGCTTGGCCTGTTAATGCTCCATAATTTAGGCGAGTATGTACCACTAACACTAATAGTTACGTAAATGATGGTGCTAGATGAAGAGAAAAAACACACTCCGCCTCGACGTGTTGGTGCAGTCCTTTTGTCCACTTCTCACTGTAGCCTCTGTCATCCGCCTCTAAACAGCCTCTCCAAGTCCGCTGAGTGGGCAAACGGGAGGAGAGGGCGGTGGAAGGGGTGGAACGACACCGCAGACTTGAGGATGAGTGAGACCGCAGTCCTCTCCACACTTTCCATCATTTTCAAAATTTTTATTTTTAAGCAGAGCAACCGTATGTGCCTCCCTTTTTTTCCCTCGGAAATCATAAACAAACGGCAATAAAACAGCTATACTTCACAGGCATCACTTTTATTGGATAGGCGGTATAAAGTAGTCGAAAAGTGATGTCACTGGTTGGAGGACTGGACTAAAGCCAACTTTTATTTTTGAGAGTTTTTTTGTCTTCCGTCTTAAATGTACTCTCCAGGAAACTACACATGAACAGAAGACCTTCTTGTTTCCCTCTTTGACAGGCTGTGCGATATCACTTACATTGGGAAAGTGCTAAATTTATGAATATACGTCTTTGAAGGCAAAAAAAAGGTAAATAAAACTTCCTAGTTTTTAACAGTTGTAGTTTGTATGTGGTAAGATTTTACAGTGATTTTTTTACACACTGCCAAGTCGTTTTAGTGCGCAAATCATGCTTGACGTTTCTCATGGTAGAAAGAGACCACCTCCACATCAAGAAAGAATTGATGCAATCCAAAGGCATTTTCTACCACTTTACCAAAAGTTTTTTTTTCCACCATCTAACGGAAAACGTGCATTCTATAGAAGGTGAAAAATACTCAGACAAGTCGACGCCGTTCTTCGCCTTCAGCGCTGTGCATAGTAGTTCGGGGCTTGCACAAGTCTCGGTGTGGGAAAATGCGTAGGCGTGCCTCCAACTCCCACACATTTCCACTTTCAAACTGAAAGCCCTTCCTCATTCACCTTCACCTCCTCTTCAATTTGTCCGCGTGAATAAGCCTACAGATTCTAGTGTTCCCAAGCCAAGACTGTCATGACAAACGCAATTTATAGACCTTAACATCGAATGGTCTGAAACAACCCATTCATGAAAGGTTCACGTAGGCGACTCTCAGGCTTGTAGTCTATGCAAAATCGGCATGCACAAAGGTTATGGCGATCCACATTTTTTGAGTTGCTTATGTTTAAAGCTAGTCTGGTTGTTTTTGTCAGTCGGGTCAAGTGAACCCGATTGCCTAAACCGCCAAGAGTAGCCGCTAAAGCCTGTGGGTTGGGCGACCAAATCACTTTATATCAACGCAGTGATGAACTAAGGAGTAAGAGGAAAATTGAAAATATTCTGCCCTTTATAATTTTAAAATCTGCCTTCATACAATGCATTTGTTTGATGAAATATGATCACGACTTGCTACAAAAAGCGTAGACATTACAACACACCGTTAGGGCGGTGTGTTGGTTATTGAAAAAAATGACAAGAGAGCATGCGGAATACTGTTTTAATCAGGTATTTGTTAGTGTCTTGCCGAAAACAAAAAACTCAAGCTAGACACGCGGAAGGGGAAATCTGCCCCTCCCCTTCCACACCCAATTTCGACAGCGATGAATCAGTCAACTCACGTGGGTGCTTCAAGATGGTCTGGATCTTTTGCCATTTTTGAGTGGTGTAGAAGAGGGGTAGATGAGAGATACGGAAAAATCCCGCCCAATTAGGTCGATCAATGAAAAATATGTACTTCCGCGCTGAGTGGACGTTAATCCAGCAGCGGCCTAAGTCTGTCCACTGCGAGAAAGGTCCCGTGAGAATGGGAAAGCCCTCCCTTACGGGGTAGATGGAGAGACGGGGGCGCTTTAGCACCTGTTCTACGAGAACACTAGCATTGTAAAGAACGCCAGGAGTGTGTCGATAGGTGGGCGTCGGATGACCGATAACAACAAAGTCCGCAAGTAGAGCACTCGTCTCCGGGTCGTCACGAAATGCATGTCGACAGGGACGGGAGGGATCTGGGGGGATGAAGAAGGGAACATCGTAGTGCCAGAACTCGGTACTTCCATGCGTTGACGTGGTGTGCAGAAGGAGGAGGAGGAGGAAATGGATAAACATCCGAAACGACGGTGGTCCTTTGAACGAGGTCATGACCAAGGAGAGTGTGAATACAAAACTGCTCTGCGATCTGACCGAGGTGGTGACTGCTAGATTTTGGGGCATTCCTAGTTCTACCTGATCATCATCCTGTTTATGGGCATGTAGACATTTGCCTAAGTGGGGAGAGAAATGGTGGGTTGGGTGCTTGATGCACGTGTGTGCATGTGTGCACGCGCGAGTGCGTGTTAGTGGGCGTGTGTGTGGTGAGCCGCACGACGATTGGAGGGGTCGTGGGACATACATGGTTTGTGGATTTGCATGCACGCATGCATGCATGGGTACAGGACCCCGTTACTGATCCAGGTGCGGCAATTCTGTTGTGGAAGGCTACTGTGCCCAAACCTCCGGGTCGGTCTCACCTCAGCAGGTGCTTGTGAGGCTGTGATGATGGGGTACTTAACTGTCTCCCTGCAAAATGAGCCCAGTTTAAGAGATAGACAGAACTTTCAACGCCCTCGCTCCTACTTTGTCATTTCATAGTACTTCGGTTTTGAAATGTAGCGTGGAGAGGTTAGGATAAAGTGCTGGCACATCGTCAAATGGTTATTTAGTGCAAAGGTATACACACGTCAATGTATTGATGCAAGAAATAATACAGAAGACTTCCTTACAAATAGTTCAAACTTCAAGAGAATGCGGAAGAAGATTTCATTTAATGGATTCTAACTCGTAAAAGAGTAGGAAGTGGTGACGTTGCTGTGTCCTACACGTAAATTATCAAGGAGTAGACAGAGGGTAAGTATGAACACCTTCTTAAGGTTACAAAATGGACTTAAAGCTTACCAGGCCGATGGCCAAAATAGTATCAAGTGGGGTTGGCCTTTGCCGATGATGCACTGATGGGGTGGCGGCATAAGAAGGCAGTACTTAAAGTTTGTGGCATGAAGAAACTGAATTCCCAATAGTGGGTCGAGTACTCCCTTGTAATTCATCACTTCGGTTTGGAAAATAGTACAACTCGCAAGGTTTCACTCGTTCGTGATAGGTACTTCAGCGTTAGCTGATCATTTGCATTCTTTGGAACTGCCATAGTTATGAAACGAATAGCTGTTTGTTACTGCAGTTCATCTTAGATAGCAGTTGATTGTTTTAGTACAGATTACACAACTACTTTCTATACTATTTTCAGTTACACTTCAATTGGCCTGTCTTTAGGCTGTCCCGATCTTTACCATTACAGTTAAATGTTTGCAAACTCTGTTTTTGCCAAGTTAAAAGGAGAACCGACGGGCCACACGCAGGTGATGCTGATGTCTCACATATTCATCATTCGGTGGAGGGATTCAACGAGTTCACCGACTTTTGAATGGAAACACAAAACGCATTTCATGGAATGCGGAATTCTGATCCCTGACATTACTTAAAGTAATGTTCCCTATGATCAAAGACATTCTACCTATCGGACAGACCTAATATTCATTTCAATTTTACTTATAATTTACTCTTTATTTAGTACGATGTCACCGAATTCTCACCAATTCATCTTAATCTGTGCAACTAACTTCCTTATTCCCTCCATTACTTAAGGTCGTTCAACTTCACAATAAAATTTAAACACCATCTTTTCTTTTTCTTTCTTTCCACTTGGGGTGGAGGAGGCAATCGTACAGGTGTGTGGGAATGGACGATCTTCCTTTACTTTACCTAACCTTCCAAATCCACCTTCACCTACCGATATTTGAACGACAAAAGATGTCTCTGAGGCGGCGGCTAAGTGACAGCATACTATTACGCATTGTCCAAAGCGCTCAGACTTTATCACAAGCCAATGTGAATTGGGTGGACACAACCATTAAAAACCAACACCCCACATGCAGTGCTGCTGGCCACAAAGAAAATACTTACCTAAAAGGTGTGCGGTGCTATTTGTTAATTAAGTAGTCCCCTTAGGGATCATTATGAGGACAGTAGGGACAATTCCGTTAATCCCTGTTCATGGCTTTGGCTTAGAGCCAACGTACAGCCGTTATTATCACAGATGCTTTCGGAAACATTTCCATATGTGGACCAATTCTCCGAGGTCACAAGAAGGGAACAAATAATTTTTGTGCGCCAATTCGTAGAACGATGTGTTCAAGCAAGTACTATGAGGAATGTCGCCAAAGGTTTCCTCAAATGCGATACCTTCTTGGGAGCTTGGGAGTGCTGATGAGTTAGTTTATTGGACCATAAACACGTTTTGCAAGGCCGTGGTTACCAAACTATGGTAGAACGATGTCCTTATTTAAATTCACTAAAAGCCTTTAGGGAAGAGAAGAATTATTCGCGTCATCATCTCTTGAACACTTCCTACAGTCTCCTCAACGAAGACTCGCCATTTGCAAAGTACTTTCCAAGTGATATCGTTGGAAGCAGTATGCTTGTGATGTTAGTACCGAAGGGGTTCCTAAATTCCTTTACCTGCATCTATCTGGGCCTAGTCCTATTATTTGGAATTTTTGTATTATTTTGACTCCAAGTACCCGAGTCTTCAAAGTTATTGAGGAAGGTAAAGGACTTCTTTCATCAAGCCGATGGGAGTGGATTGAAAGTCTGAATCAGTGCCCGCACACAATGTACAGGACCGGTGTGCATATGAGACGCCTTTTTATAGCAAAAGTACTGTATTATTAATGGGAGGCAGAAGATGTGGGTGATAAACTTCAGCTTCACAGGATGCAGGTATTTTTTGGCACACAAGTCCCTTTAGCTGGCTAGAGGCCTAGAACCGCCGCAAAATTCACCATTCCACGGCGTTTGATGGAAGGCGAGAGGGGCGAGAGGAATAGGCGCGCCGCAGGAATGCAGTGCAGAGGGGCCACGGAGTACTCGCAGTCTCAGATCCACCTTAGCTATGTGTGTGCGTTAGTGTGTGTGTGTGTTTGTACTGTAGGCAGTTGGGGAAGGGATGATGGGAGGTTCCATGTGTGCCCACATTGCCTAACATCACCAGGCTACTTTGCAATTCGATGCAATACCAGCTCTAGACCAAAAAGCGATAGTGTAACCCCACAATCTTGGTGCATGTTAAGTGTGCGTCTTGAAGTGATAAATTGAGTCTGGAGTCTTCAACGACGCAGTTTTGCCTTGCCACGGCAATGATAACGACCCCACCTGCATAGATTACCTCTACAAAGATAAATAACACTCTCCATCCTTTTGAACCATAAAGTACAGGTAATTCTGCAATCGAGACATGCTGAGTGTGGGAATAAGTCAGGATGTTCCACCTCTTTAAAATTCCCCCGCTCTCTTTTGGGCGGTAGGGCGATGCTCTGTTAATTTGCGGAATGTATTTACACGATGTTTAAAAGGAATATTCTCAAGACATATAAAAGGGCAGTAAGCCAGCGATAAATGCTGTCCTTTAATTTTGTTCAACTAGCATTTATGAAGAGGGCAAAATATTCCTCCTCCCCCTCCTTCCTTGGTCCTTTAATAACACTGTGAAAAATTTTAAATTCAATTTGTAACCATTTTGCGCGGAATTCTTCGCAATTCATCTTAACGAAATAATTGCTTTGTTTGTGCAGAAGAATTTTGTTTTCTGCCTGGTTAAAAGGAAAGCACAAATTTTCTATTTTTCTTGCAGCAATTTTTTACGACCTGTTTACGAAGGACGCAAATTTGCCTAATTTAGGACGCACAACTATGGAACGAAGATGCATTTCTTGCAATCGGAGGTCATCACAATATTCTCCATTGGAATACTGTTGACAGAACGCAGTCCTCCAAGCACAATATCTAGCAGCTCGACGATTTGCATGAGGAGAAGCATGACGGAAAATCGACCTCCCTCCCTTTGATAACGGGGCGACAGGTCACTGGGTATGCAAATTGCTTTGAACTTCTGCAGCAAACAATACTCGGTTCTCTCACTAAAAGATAACAACACTTCGAACTACTTCAGTTTTTGGATATCTTTTCCAGAAGGTTAATCGCTCTCAACTTTTATGAGTGTGTGTTTATGCGCCTTCGTTTTAGCTCCGTATTTTACGTAATTAGCGGCTTAGCAGTTTGTCTGAACATTTTAGGTGTTGGATCAAAGGAAAGTGCCGATCCGGTTGCAGTTGTCTCCATGGCCTTCTACTAAGCCATTTCAACTAGTAGTAAAGTGAAAATTGGGGGGTGTAAAGGGCTACTTAAACACTCCTCTGTGAGGGGTAACGCCTCAAGGCCCCTTGTGAAGGCGGATGACGGCATGACATAAAAACTGTCAGCGCACAATAGAACTTGAGTCACTGACGCGGCTCAGAGGTAGGGCTATCCGGGGGAGAATTGATGGCGAAAGGCCGTAGCAGTCGGTCTACAGAACTGACGTATGCACAAACAATAAACATGATACACTCTACTTATGTCATTAAGTTGGAATAAAATTTCTTACGAGACCAGTTAATGGCTCTAATAGCACTTCTTTGTTGCCTAAAAAGAAGAGTTTGCTGTGTCACTTCCTTTTATATTTGCATTTCATTATCAGACCCACAACCTTCACATTTAACCAGATGACTTAATTGATGAGTACTAAATAAGTATAAACTGATAAAGTATTTTTCGCCTTAAAAATTGGCTTACAGAGGAAAAAGTGTCGGTCCGGCACTATTCGTCTACATGTGCTTGGGCATTAATCACTGCCACCTTTAAAGTGACCCTATTGGGGTGGGCCAACTTGGCGTGCATTGAAGTAGTACTCCTTCACCCTCCTGCATCTCATTTCTCCTTCAAAGCTTTTAGTTTACGGAGGTACAGACAAAGATATCCTGTTTTTATGAACAAAGAGGGGGAGCCATAGACAATCAGGACATTAGAGGCTTTTTGAGAATTTCAATTATATGTTTTCCTTGTCAGCTAATTTTTAGCTCTAACAGCGACACCTATTGTTTTCGGAACAACTAAATCATCTACAAGTTTTAGGCTTAATGCCTTGCATTGAAATAATTTACATTTGGCGTCCATTAAGTCCACGGTAGGGGTCAGTTCAGAGTGGGCACCGATTTGTTTCTCAGCCTCTTGAGCCCTTGAAAAGAACTTATTCTTGTATTCGGTGCAGCTCGTGCACAAAGTCATAAACTCTCCCTTCTGTCGATGTCACTTTTCAACAATTCTACTTGTGCTATGTACAAGTAAATGCGCCT